ATTGCAGCTGGGGTATGGCGAGAACAACGTGCTACGAGAAAAGGCAGAGACTTCCGTCAGTGACTGAGGCTAGTAGACTTCTATGAGAACGAGAATTCGCAGGTTTTGGGTGTACATGAGCTCTTTGAAACGACGGCCTTCAAGCTATGTCAGAAAACTCTTTATAAGAATGGCTATTGGGTAATGTAGAATCAAGACACCCAAAAGATGAAATAGTCGCAGTCTTTGTTCCTGGTTGATGTAATGATGTTGCTGCTGATAGGGGATGGGCAACTGACATAGTTCATCTCGGAATGCTGTAGTTGCCACATCCACCGAAACAACACTGAACTGAGGACTGAGGCAGCCATTACAGTATCTAGAATCACGACCAAGAATATACGAAGAGAAAAGGTGACCCAGAGAGACGGGTACGGACGAAGGCTTGCGCATCATCAAGAGCCGTCGCAAGCCACTTGGTGACCTGGTGACGCTCAGAAACCCTGGTCAGAAGCCAGCCTTGTTCAAACTCCTGACACCTTCTCGCCGACATTGTGTGCTGTAACGTAGTATAGCAGCATTTCAGACTTTATTTATAGTAAGCTCGATACTCTCAAGTTGCTCAAATGGTTGGTCAGTCGTTTTCTAGGATGCTCTGGTAGATGGTCCGGCAAGCTGCTAGAACTATATTCAAGCTAGATGCTAAGATATATATATAGCCTTCACAAAACCACACACGCCAAATGAACCGAGCGAATAAGATCGTCTTTCCAAAAGCGCAAACAGACCTCATCTCTAAGGTGAGTCGATCGTCTGAGGCTTAACTAGCACGAGAAGATCAAGGCGCGAAGACACTAGCCAGAGATTATTCCTAGCCGTATCGTCAGCGAGCAGAGAGAAGGATGGGCAAGGCAGAACCCATGAGATGCCCCTGTCTCTCATGTTGTAGCATATGACATTCGTTATATGGCTCCATTGTGCTTGGGCTTTGTCTTTTTTGTAAGTCATGAGTTTGTGCACCCCACGCATCTGTGACATGAAGTCTGGCACCGACGAAACACAACATGCTTATATATTGCCTCAACTTGGTAGTTCCAAGATTGACTATTCGGTCATCGCTGAGGACTGATGACGGTACCTGATTTCTCAGGAAACTGATCATACTTTTGGGCCAACGATAAGAGAGCCGTTGAAAGGGCGGACTAAAGGTGTAGGAGCCCTCATCGGCATGTTGTAGGCCCATGGGACGGAAATACCAATGCCACTGAATGATGCCGCGACACCCCTCAAATACCTCAAGCAGTGTGAATAAAACTATTCGTTTTCAAGTATACACACCAAGTAGGGCGAGAAAAGCCAGCCAGTCGGATGATGGTGTCCAAATCCCATGAAGCGGGAAAAGGAGAAAGAAACTCGGTCATGCGCAGCAAAGTCGACTTCTGTTTGGAAGCTGCAAATTCGAAGTTTGACAACGCCATGCTGATTGTGCTGCGCCATCATCTTCTCCAAGCCCGTCTGATTTATACCGGTAATTAGCTGATCCGCGTGACGGTGGTTGGCCCCTGATTCGGGACGCGGGCCTTGGAACCTGCCCATACACGACGTTCACGCATGGGAACCTTAAACAGGGGAGCAGGATATTATACAATGACCACAGGAAAACCGTCTGGTCCAGGGAATTAGTTGACAAGTGCATCATCGATCGGGACTTCACGAGCAGAAGGAATCGGCACGGTAAAGGCGGGACGTCCGATCGAGCAGCTGGAACTTGATGTGCCTGAACAGAACGCCGCTCTTGAGCTTATACCGATGTATATACGCAAGGCAACCATCATGACTGGGGAAATTGCTGGACGAGGGATCCGATGGCACACAACGAGCAACCGGTGTCCCGTTTGTCGGCGGCAAGAGAGCGCTGGAAAGCAGCTGCGCAAGGCAGGCAGCAGGCCAACCCCAGGCTTCCCATGCTTAATGATATATGAAGACCGCATGCGGTTTCTATTGGTAGAGAACTGGCTGGAACATTCATCGGCCGAAATATATATGCCGTGCCATGGTGCTGACACAAGTCTCCAGGGTCATTATGAGCCCAACCATCGACAACTCAACCATGCCACAATACGAGAGGCAACACAAGGGGACCACAGCGTGGGAACATTAATATCTTACTCGCTCAGTAGCAGCAAAAGACACGATTTGGGCGCGTGAAATGGATTTGTTCGCATACATGGTCTTAAATACAACACCCTGCTAGAGTTCTCGACGGCCATGGCAAGACTACCTGACCCGATGTTTCCACCAAGGGCCAACCCTCTCGCCTGAACCTCATCGAAACCCCGCGTGGGGATGACAATCCCCTGTCCCAATGCAACCTAACCCATCACCATGGAAATCCATTGCTTTTGTTCTTCACGAGGGACACTAAAGACCTCGTCATGACTTTTTAAAAATGTATGCCGTGATATTACACAGAGAGCCACCGTATAGCGGCTGCTGGAAGCCTCGCATGAACAAAGGAAGAAGCTTCGCTATATCTGAACAGGGGTATGTCGTTCTCGTTGACTGGTAACATTATCCCATAATCATGCCCTTCATACCGGCCAGGTCACCCTCCTTAGCAGCAATCTCGAAGTAGCCGTAAATGATGCTGGCGAGATGTTAGCTGAAGCTCAAATCGGTATCCATTGCGGGGTAAGAACTTACGTGACAGCCAGAAGGGTACCGGTGCCGGAGCCGAGGGCACCCATGAGGTCGCTAGCAACGGAGAGAGCACCGATGCAAGCACCACCGAAGGCGGCGGCAGTGGGGATGATGCGCTTGAGCTCCTTGTACATGGACTGGTCACGGTGACCGGCCATGACGAGACCCTGGTCCTTGAGCTGCTTGGCGACATCGCGGGGGCTGGAGCCGGAAACCTCAATCCAGGTCTTGGAGAAGATGGCGCAGGCACCGAGCATGTAGACGATGTAGACGACAGTGTGGATGGGGTCGAGGAGAGCGTCCTTGAAGTTCAAGGGAGGAGACATGTAGTAGGCCAGACCGGAGATGGCGGAAAGCTGGGCGGAGCCGTCCTTGGCCTCCCAGACACCGAAGAGACGGACAAGGAGGTTGTCGGAGAAGCGGGAGTACAGCATCTGGCTGATGAGGAAGATGTTGGAGGACAGAGCGGACTGCAGCATGATGGGCATGTTGGAGGTGTAGAACAGGCGGACGGGGTACGAGCCGCGGGCACCACGCTGGCGGGAGGACTTGACGGGGATCTCGACGCGGAAACCCTGGAGGTAGATGACGGCGGCGAAGACGACAATGGTGGCCAGGAGGTTCATGATGTTGGGGAGGTTCTGGCGGTAGAAGGCCTCCTGGAGAGCGCGCTGCTTGTTGGGCCAGGTGAGGAGAAGGTGGAAGAGGGCAATGACGGCACCCTCGAACTCAGGGCCACGACCGGTGTTGATGGTGGTGGGGGAGAAGGCCTTCCACATGATGGACTCGCAGATGTTGGTGGCGATGAACAGGGAGATACCAGAGCCGAGGCCGTATCCCTTCTGCAGAAGCTCGTCGAGGAGAATCACGATCATGCCAGCGACGAAGAGCTGGAGGATGAGCAGGAAGACGATACCGGCGCCGAGGTCAGAGGGGCGGCCGTAGAGACCGGTGAAGACGTAGACAGTGGCGGTACCGGCAGAGAGGATGAAGGCGAAGAGCTTCTGGGCGGTCTGGTAGAGCTCGCGGTCGCTCTTGAGGTCGAGGTTGACGTCGATCATGTGGGTGCCGGCAAGGAGCTGGAAGACCATGCCGGAGGAGATGATGGGAGTGATACCCAGCTCCATCAGGGTTCCACGGTTACTCGCCATGACCATACGCAGCCAGTATAGGGGATCCGAGTTGTCGGAGGAGACAATGCCGTACAAGGGCATCTGGCTCATGACCAGGAAGATGAGGAGGGTGAGGGCCGTCCACATCAGCTTCTGGTTGAAGGGGACCTTGGTCTCCGGCTGCTGAACCTCGGGGAGGAACGGCACGAACGGCTTGACCAGGTCGAGGAACCGTACTGCGGGAGAGAAGCGCGAATGTTAGCCATTGTGGTTCTCCTGATGCGAATTGGTAAGGCAGAGTCGGGTATCGCGACCGGGGTCGTAAATATCGCGCGCGTGTCCTCTCGGGAGGTTTGCGACAGGGCGGCAAAGCACGCGATTCTGAGGGCTGGTCGAGGTGGTCTTTTTGGGGATCAGGTACTTACGAGAACTCATGATGGGCTGTTACACTGGGGGGACACGGGAAGGAACAAAAAACCAAACGATCTAAATCATCCAGATGAAGGGGACAAGAAGGAAGAGTTAGAGAGCGACAATGGCTCCAAGTGTGGCGAAGGGGAAGGTGATGGTGTTGGGAGAAGGGAGGTTATTAAGGAGAGGAGGAGGAGGACCTAAGAGCTCGGGGCAAAAAAGAGGGTCGGCTGCGATCTGGCTTCAAAAACGCCAAATTGTCGATGTGTCCAAAAATTGGTGGAGCTTGGGGACACACGTGACCGTCACATAAGCTGCAATTTTACTGGGTAAGGAGCTGGGGTCTACTGAAGGCGCTGCTGGGTATGGCAATGCTACGCTACCTTAATCCTCCAGCGCCCTTTTTTAAGCGTGCTTCAGTGCTTTTCGCCTCAGGGGTCCAGACGCGGGGCCTGGAAGGGAAGCTGACGGGACCCGACAGCACAGGGCAGGGAAGCGGGTGGCTGCCCCCAGGCCTTCTGGCGCGTTCCGATGCCTTCTGATGCCACATTCCCATTTGGAGAAGCCTGGAACCACCAAAAATCCGCAACAACACCAACCACGGCGACCGACGCCAGCCCCGCGATCCGGACACACCACACGCACCGGGAAAAACCTGTCATTGCACGACGCAAGACCCAGCCTCTGACGGCCACGATGCTGTGATCCTTCTGAGTCATTGCTAGGCAGGACATTCTTTCTGGTATGATCTTTCGGTCACCACTTGGCCGAAGGTTCTTACACAATGTTGCTGGCAAGATGACAGCTCGACATGCGCCCACGGACCCTTTGGTGGTCATCCTGGGTTCGACCGGCACAGGAAAATCAGAGGTGAGCACCACCACCACCACTCTCGCGGCGCATGCTGCCTCGGTGCGACCGGGCAATGCCCCGCGCACTTGCGACCCAAGCTGACGTCCTCAAAGCTTGCTGTAGAGCTTGCGACTCGCTTCAAAGGCGAAATCATCAACGCGGATGCGATGCAGATGTACAAGGGTCTGCCCATCATCACGAACAAGATCACCAACGAAGAGCGCCGCGGCGTGCCCCACCACCTGCTCGATCACATCGGCCTCGACCAACCCACTTGGATCATTGAGGACTTCAAGCGCGAGGCGAACAGAGTCATCAGCGAGATCCGGAGCAGGGGCAACTTGCCCATCGTCGTCGGCGGGACGCACTACTACACGAATGCGCTTCTGTTCGCAAACTCCCTCGTCGGTGGGGAGGGCGATAAGCCCAAGGATGCCGAAATCAGTGACGAGCAGGCCGGCAAGTCGTTCCCGATCCTCAACGAGCCGACTGAGGTGATACTGGCGAAGCTGAGGGAGGTCGACCCCGTCATGGCCGACCGCTGGCACCCCAACGATCGGCGCAAGATCCAGCGCTCGCTGCAGATCTACCTTCAGAACGGGCGCCCTGCATCCGAAATCTACGCCGAACAGAGCCAGCGCAAGCTGGCCGAGACCAAGGCGTCCGGTGCTGGTGCGTGGCAGACGCTACTCTTCTGGGTATACTCGGATCCCGAGGTGTTGAAAGAGCGCCTCGACAAGCGGGTGGACAAAATGCTCACAGCCGGTCTGAACGACGAGACCCAGTCGATGTACGAGTATGTCCAGGAAAAGCAGGCCGCTGGCGAGGAGGTGGACTACACTCGTGGCATCTGGCAGTCAATTGGCTTTAAGGAGTTTGAGCCTTACCTCAAAGCACTCAACAACCCAGACCAGACCACCGAGCCCGCCGCCCTCGAGTCTCTGAAAGCGACATGTCTCGAGGATATGAAGGCCTCGACGCGCCAGTATGCAAAGTACCAGACCCGCTGGATCCGTACAAAGACCGTCCCGCCGCTCCAAGAACAGCCCAGCGCAATGGACCACCTCTTCGTCATGGACAGCACCGACATATCCCAGTGGTCGTCCAACGTGATCGATCCAGCCGTCGACATCGCGCGCCGCTATCTTGAGGGTGACAGTCTGCCCGAGCCGGCGAGCACGTCGGAGAGAGCAAGCGCGGTGCTGCGGGAAGTCGCGACGCAAAAAACGGTCACGCAGCGGCGGCAGACGTGCGACATCTGCCAGACGACCTGCGTGACGGAGCAGGACTGGACGAAGCACATCAAGAGTAGGCGCCACAATGTGCTCGTCAGGAAGAAGAAGGCGAGGGCCCTGGTAGCCACTGAGAGGCCCATGGCTGTTGTTCCAGTGGAAGCTGAAGCTGTCGCAGCCGAGCCCGTAGAAAAACCCTCAAGCCCTGAGGGAGGTGTCGTAGACATGTTCGAGGAGCCGTCATAAACCCGTTAAACAAAAGAAAAGAAACTTTGCTCATCTCTTGCCGTGCCGCATCGGAGTTCATCTGACATGTCTCACATATTCCCCTCATATCGGCTCATCCTGTCGCCGGCACAAATGCATCACCTGACAACAACAAAGGCCGCGTGTAGCTGCCCCCTTATCACAAGCCCATTTAACCCATCTTTGTACAACATAATTCCAGACTTTGGTCGGATCTACCTTCATAGGTATCACAACCCGCGTATTTGCCCCCATTACTCGCGCGCGTATTCGCAAACGATAGCCTTTGTTGGAGAAGAAGGTGTAAGTTCAGGCTGCTCGTTCCTCGCATTGCTCGGTTCTCGCTTTCGTGTTCCCAAACCGAGCTGAACGAGCTGTGGAGACATACCAACATAACCATGAGTACTCTTCTCGAACAGGGCAGGACGACGATCCGGACGGGATTCAGGAATCAGGATTTAGAAGTCTTTTGTCGGATCTTTTGTGTTTTTCACGTGGGAGGTATTTACGGGCCGTGCTTGTGGTGGGTTGACGGGTCTTGGGCTGGTTGGTGATACAGGTTGAATGGGTGGATTTCTACAGGCTCTTGTGACGGATGATTTTGTGTGAATGGTAGTTCTTGACTTTGCCTTTCGGCTGTGATCCGATTCCGGGCGACCATTGGTTACGCAGCTGGTGATATGAATGTGGAATAATATTCTGATGTACTACGAGCATTTCCTTCATGTTACTCATGCACGCCTCGGCAAAGTGGCCTCATGGGCCACAAGCGTGCATTCAAGTTAGCCCAACTGAAATCTTCGCCTACGCGAAGAAAAAGTAAGATACTGTATTTGTTCTGCCGAGAAGACGGCCGTCCTCCACGCCCAAATATGAAACGGAGGACATCCTTCACTGCGTTTTTAACCCCTCCCGAGGGACTGCCACCCACAAGCCCGCCGAGAGATGCCAAGTCTCTCAAGCGTCACAACGCGTTAAGCTTATCACAAGGCTGAGCGACGCCAGCTCACTCGCGATTCCAAGTCATCTCCAAATGAAATCATCCGACCTATCGTCCCTTACGCCTAAAATATAGTGCCATGGCCCGATTTACGGATCGACAGGCATGGCAGGGCAGGGTAGACTCGTCCTCGTTCTCGTCATCGGCTCGTTCTCGGTAAGGTAGCAATGACGCCAGCTAAACACCAATTTAGCCTGTTACCACAGACGATAGTATATCATGGGATGGGACGAATGGCATGATCTCTGCCCTGGGCAAGGGTTGCGGACTTCTGGGTCAAGGATCGTTCCGCTGAACGGTTCGGGTGGGCGTGGTGGCGGAACGGAGGGTCGTGAATGAATTGAGTTCCACCACCGTCCCCCGTCCTGAACCGGCGGAGAGGTGGGGCAGCTGGTCCGTGTGATCTTGGGGAACGACGTATTGGGGGTCAAACATAACGATGCGATGCTCTCAACAGTGAACCAACGTACATCAAGAAACATAAAACTTTGGCCTACCATGTACTTTTCAAAACCCCATATCTACAAAAGCAGTCCATCCGTGATCCAGTATTGTACTCAAAACAAGTTTTTTGGTGCCATAACCCGCCCCATTTTCTGTTATGCAGAGATAAGTGCTTTTAAATCTGACTCTTGACCCACTTCTCAAGACCACCCTTAGCGATGATTTCTGATCTGTGTTAGTACTGATGCCACAACACGAGCTGCCCAGGGGAATTTCTCTCTACCTTGTACGTTGGGTGGCAGCTCGCCAACCTTGACGCTCCAGCTCGCGCCGTCCTTCTCCGTGACGACAACCTTGCTCCTCTTGACGTCCCACAGGACCTTCCATCCCGTGCGGCGGGTAAGGACCTTCTCCTTCTTGTTCTTGAAAGCTTCGCGCAGACGCTCGACCAGCTTCGGTACCTCGAGAGCCATCAGCGCGTTGTTGACACTGTTGCGGCTGAAGATGTTGCTAAAGCTGCCGGCAATGACCATGGGGATGCCCTTGGCGAGGATAGCGGTAGCAGCCTATAAGCCCATGTTAGTAGAGTCCAGCGGTCACGCAAGAGAGGGTACACGTAATTGCTCTCTCGATGAGCCCGTGCCGAAGTTGGGGCCAGAGACGAGGATGTCGCCAGCCTTGGCAATATGACGGAACTCGGTGTCGTAGTTCTCCATACAGACCTCCGCCATCTTTTCGGGCGTGACGTCGTCTTGGTACGTGTATTTTCCCTGCGGCAGCGGTTAGCAGATTTAAAGTTTCATAAGTGGGTAATCATGAATAAGGAGCATACGGGGTAGATTCCATCAGTGTTGAGGTTGTCTGCATCGCAAAATACGATCTCGCCCTCAATCTTCTCGGGGAACCCGGGGAGAATCTCGGTCAGCGTCTCCTCGCCATCAGCGGCAGCGGCCTCGCCTCCAGGGGCACCTGAAAAGCCCTTCTCGGACTCAGCAATGAGGTCGTCGGCTTGAGAGATCAGCTTCTCGAGAGCATCCTCGATGCTGCTAGAGATGTCCGCGGTGATGTCGCCAACACCCTCGCCGATAATGACCTTGTCGACGCCCTCCGGCTTCTGGTACCAGCCCGGTCCGGCGATCTTGCCCTGCAATGCACTGGCTGCGACGACTTCGGGGCTGGCCAGGTAGGCCTTAGCGTCAGTTGAACCCATACGGCCCTTGAAGTTGCGGTTAGAGGCCGAGATTCCAACTTCGCCTATGTGGTGGTCAGTACATCGTGAAATAACAGTTTGCGTCCGAATATACCTGGCTCAAGCAGACCGGTGCCCTATAAGAAGAAGTTAGTAAACATTCTCTACTCGGGGGAAAAGAATTCACGTTCCATGCCAATGCATGGGCCACACGAAGCAGGAAGGACATGAGCGCCTGCCTCGACTGTATTCTACATTAGTATGGCTTTGATTTATAGCTCAGAGAGCTTCAGGAGGCGTACCGAGGACCTGCCAGTCTCCGGAAGCTTCCGCGGCTGCTTGCTCCGTACGAGAGGCAGCAGCCAAGTAGAACTTCACACCAGGAGCCAATTTGGCCGGTGAATCCTTCTCAGAAGCCTCGCGGAAAACGCGAGCTGCAGCTGCGATGTCCGAGGCACGAGAGTTGGTGCATGAAACCAAGTATGCCTTGTCGACCTTGATATCTTGCGCTTCAAGATCATGCAAAGGCGTTGCAACCTTGACAGAGTTGGGCCCGGCAACGAAAGGGCAGAGGGTGTCGAGGTTCAGGTACAGTTCCTTGGCGTAGACCGCGCCTGGGTCGGCTATTACAGGATTCTCGAAGAGTTTCTCGATACGCTCATGGGTGAAGTTTGTCTTGGCAGGCCCCTCCACGTTGAGCATAGCGTTGGTGGTAGCCTTAGCCGTCATCCAGGCCTTCAGCACCGAGTCCATAGGAAAGATTCCGGCGCTGCAAATAAGTTAGTCAAGTTGACGACTTCATGATAATTGCGCAGGACGTCGCCTTGTGTGCGACTGATTGGCTGCGCAATTGAAGCTGATAGTTTGATTGGCCGAGATAAGTGGGGCACCACACAGTCAACCAGAAACGACCACCCGGATCCCTTGCAGAATGACTTACGCAGCGCCGTGTTCGGTGGTCATGTTAGAAATAGTCAATCGGTCGTCAACTGGTATACTTCGCATGGTCTCTTCGCTTCCGACGAATTCAACGCTATGGTTCAGAACTTCGTCCTTGTTGAATAGACCGCAGAGTGCCACGATAATATCCTTTCCAGTAGTTCCTGGGCGTAGAGTTCCGGTGAGAGTAATCTATGCGCGCAATCAGTATCTCCATAGATCCTCTTGAGATGTTTCGTATGCCTACCTTAGCGATCGGGGGTACCTGCCACCAAGTCTTTCCGGTAGCCCAGACGGCTGCGGCATCAGTTCGTACGAGCGCAGTTCCCTGTTCAAGTCAGTTTCCAGAGACACAGTAGGCTCATCGGCCGAGAACTCACCAATGCGCCGACTCCGCCGTACATGTTGCTATGCTAAATAGTCAACAGTTAGAAATAAGCTGCACATACTAGGCACGAGCAAGTGTGAAAGACGAACGCTGTCCGAAGCCACGGTTACGGTGCCAGGCCAGGCAAAACCAGACTCGATCATGATTTGATGTCCAATACCATCTCCGGCTCCGGAGAAAAAAGTGCCGTGCTTCTTTCCAAATTCCTCGATGAGTCTGTATTGAATGAGAAGGAAGTACGACTGCAGCTGTATTTGCGAGTTTACCTGTATTTCTGCAATGTTGAAGCATGTGTTAGCAGGGCGACTTTGCAAGAATCATAGAGAACTAACCTTCAAATTGCCTTCGCTCTTGTTTTGAACGTCATGATCCAGGGTCTGAAAATGAGTTAGCCTTATTCTTCAAAGAAACGTCTCATTTGGAGTTGCACGAAGGTTGAACTTGGTGTTGTTGTGGCTTGGTTGGTGGGAGAAGAAGAGGGGAGGATGATATTAGTCGTACCAAGATAACTTGATCCTTGTCATGCAACTGCGTAGCACCCAATCCCATGAACTTGAGAGCGACCGGCCTGCTGTACGTCAGAAAGAGCCTAGATAGTCGGGTTTGTATGCTCCGACATACCAACTGTTGTCGTGGGTCATGATCCTGACATTGTATTAGTCGTAGTAGACATTGACAGGCTCCCGGACGACGCACTTGTGCGGTTGCAAAGTGACATAGTCACCCGTGCGAACCTTCTTTCCAGGCGCAAGACCGACAGAGTAGTTCTGCACGATCTTCTCCGTCATGGTCTGAGGGTTCTGGATAGCGCTGGGCCCCGCGGCGGCGTGGCTTTCGAGCTGGGAGTGGAAGGCATTCTGTCGCAAACGGGCAGAAGTCGTGTACAGGCTCGATCGGATCGGTCGCGGAGCAGCAACGTGTCGGGGGAGGAACTGGCGGCAGGTTCTCGCGGCGTGGAAGGCCACGGCTCGTCTCTGAACAGGGGGTGCAGGTTAGCAATGAAGTCGCAGCAGCGAGGTCGGAGACGGCAGAGTGACATACAACGGGAAGCATTGTGTGCTAGTATTTCGAGGCCAATGGCCGTTCGGATCGATTCGTATCGTGTTGCAGTCCCTTCGGCCGGCCGTCTGCAACTCGGGATACGATGGTGGTGGAGGTTTGCGGCGATTTGAGGTTGCTCGTCACTGTTTTTTCGGCGTCGGTCGCGATGTCGGCAGTGGTGGTTGTGACTCCGGCCAAAAATTTGGAGCATGTGGGGAAGGAATTGCTCTGACGTGGGGTTCCCGCAGACTGATTGGCCTGTTGGGGAAATCAGCATTAGGGTGTTGGTGATTGGCTGAAGCCATCTAACAGCCAACGGCACGCTGCGCTGTGAGGCCCACTGTGAGTCGTTTCAAGCGACATGATTGGCTATAGATCGTGCGCAGCTCCGAAGACTTGAAGTCGTGATGAATGTCATTGAATGATTGCCATTGACTCGGCGCTTGGTTCGTCGTCTAATTGAAGATGCTGCATATTCGTGAGTTGAAATCATAAATAGCTGCTATCCCAACTTCCTAAGTGATCTGATAACGTAGAAGTTGCCGCTTGGGGTTGACAGGAACAGGTGGGATGCTGCCCCCATCCCCAATTCCTCGACTTGCAGCAGAATGACGGCCGACCAGGGCAGAAAAAAGGAACGAGCCGAATACGACGGAAGACGGCGGGATGAGTGGCCGGCCATCGGGACACGGAGGTAAGGACGGGCTCAGGTTACCACCGGCTGGGCGGAGCAACAGCCCCTTCCAGCGGAGCTCTGCAGAACTTCAGACGTCGAATTGTGGATTCGTGAACGCTGTTGAGTTGAGTCATCAGTCCGCTCCTCCATCTGCCGACCGGCATGGCCCCACGCGCGTGGAACAGGTGGAGGGCCCGTCAGAGGAGAGTGTGGTCACGATGCCGCTGAGGAGGCCGTGGGATGTCATAAGGTTTGTATAAATTGCATAATATGAGATCGGGAACATCTATCCGTGCACAAGTCTATGAGCCGCACGCAACCACCGCCGCAGCTAGCCTTTTGCACAAGATGCAGCCGTCGTAAAACCTGAGAAAGCAACCCATTTGCACGCTAATCACCTCGCACTTCGGCATCTTGGCAGGCATGCGTTTTAGTGCAAGATACGTAAGGGTCGGCCCTGTTATCCCCCGACCTCACCCACCACAAGTCGGTCTTGGTAAGGCACCCTGTGTCTATCTGGCGGATCTGCTCCACGTGTCCAACTTGGTACGGAGCACGGGACAGAGTAGAGACAACTGTATGCAAGTACGGACATTCAGTTGAGAGAGTTGTGCGCGCGCGCAGTTTCCTGGTTACGGCAGAGTGCCACCGGTTGGGTGCATTATGCCAGCATTAGACTAGGTTGGCGTTGTACAATGCCTTGACGCAATGTCACTGATCCGATGAGTACGAGGGGAACGAGGGATGGCGGGGACTTTGGCCCTGTTCAAGCTGGTGTTGCGGATGGCTATGCCCCCCATGAGTGTCTCCTGCGCTACAACAGCGCCTAGGAAGTGCTAATTAAGATAATGTGCACGCGCGGGTAATAAATCCCACCTGCTGATGCTGATGCTGATGCTGATGTGAGGGATGAGTTGGGGTTGGGGTCGGGGAATGGAAGTGACAGTCTCTCCTGCCTGTTTCCCCTTGCTGCAGCAGCATAGGCTCATTTGCGCTTCCAGCTGGCTCATTGTGGCTCGTACCTGCCTGCCGCAGAGGAGTTCCATTACACTAGAGCCTGATGAGTGAGGAGGTACCTTCACTTTACCGAGACTCTGTGTTGCCCGGACCTCTTTTCACCCCTTCTCATCTCCATCTCCATCTCCATCTTCCATCCCCCTCCATCCAATTCTCGCACATTGTTTTTACGGCTACACACTGGTGGCTGCTGCAGTGTTTCTTCCCCGCCCTGCTGCACTTGCGCAAGGACGTCGACGTGAATTCTGAATTCTGTCAGGAACTCTAACTCTCAACCGTCACCCCGCCGTCCGCCCGCCGTCCCTGCTCTGCCCACCCACCCTCTTCCAACATCTCATCCCCTCCTGTACCTACCTTACCTTGCACCACCACCTCCAACTTGTCTTCCACTTGTTCCCGAACTCCTTCGGTACCGTCCTTTCCCGTTGCGCTCTCTGCCGCTTCCCTGTCCATCAACCAACTTACTACCCTACCTTACCTACTCCCGTCAATCCCTGCTCTACATACCTTCCGCAGTAGGCACATGGCCTTGCCTTGCCTTGCCCTGCCTTGCCCTGCATGGCCGCTGCCGCTGCCGTACCCTGCCTTCCTGACCTCACATCGCGTTGAACCCTGGAGTTGATCGCACTTATTTGTTGCCTGTTCTCTCTTCTCGACCGCACATCCATCCCTTCGCATCCGCTTAGTCCTTACTTAGTACGACCAGACGTGGCTGCCCATTGTAGGCTCTTCCGAACCTCGGCGGACTTTGGCATCGAGGTTCAGCCCAGATTTACGACGGTGGAAACGTCCAAAGTATATCCGCACTGCTGCCACTGCTACGCGGTACAACACATACACCAAACTCCGTCCCAGGGCCAGGGTTCTGTTACCTTGCATCCCGTCGCCGCAAAGGAGCTCGAGGCTAGACCGCGCACATGCGCCCAGTTGGCCAGCATCCTGTCGTCATTCGTCCGCCCGACGTCCGTTTCGTCCGTTCCCTCCGGCGACCTCACCCCCTCTTGACTTGAGTCTCTGTGAGTCCCGTCTTGCTTGGATTGATCGACCTGCTGCCCCTATCTCTTCTCTGTTCCCTTCCACGTTCTAGCTTTCTGTCAACTGCCCGCCTTTTCTGCCTCCTGTCGCCGCAGTTGCTGCCTATTAATAATTGCGACGTACCACCACCTACCTGGGTACTCCAACTCTGCTCCAACTGAACCGGACGGAAACCTGCGACACAAACGTCGTCCCTGTTTGAATTGCGACGGAATCTCTCGGGCGTCAAAAAAAGACATCCGCAGCCTTGGAGGGGTACGGTAACCACTTTATCCTATCCTCCTCCACTTCCCTAGCCACTCGTCTCCATTCCTCTACCTAGTCACCTAGTGTAGGGAGGGAGAGCACTGGACAACTGGAGTCTCGAGTTCACACACACACACCCGACTTTACCTTAGACATATATTGGGCCGCAGAAGATCAGCTAGGCGCAAGCGGGAGAAACCCAGTGAGACGCACACGACACGTCCCGCAGCACCGGTCAGTCCTTTTGTGCTCTTGGCTGGGTAGTGCTGCATCGGAATTCCTGGAATCCCGACGAGTCAGGCCGAGTAAACTGTGACCCGCGCCCGCATTCGATTGATTCTTCATACTTCTTCTGGACCGCCGCCTCCGCCGCCGCCGAACGCCTCATCAGCACTGCAGTAGCAGCAAGCAGCAGTTCGAGACCAGCCAGTCCAGTCCAGTCCAGTCCAGTCAGCAGAAACCACTCAGTCTCACACTCACTGACTGCCGTTTGCCTGCCTGCCCGGTAGCTGTTTGTCCTCCTCTCTTGCATTTGCATATGCTGCTTTCCCACATTCTCCGCCGCTGCGCCTCCTCTTTCCCATCCTCGTCCTCCACGTTCTCTCTCTTTCTCACACACACAAACACACATACACACACATCTGGACACCCACCCACACCCATCGCGCAACTCCAACCTCCGCCTCCTGGTACCTATCTCTCCCTCCAGCCAATCCTTCCATCCCGCCTACCGTATCCCGCACAACAAAGATACGGCGTCTGCGGTTCGGTAACGCAGCAGCACAGGCCTGAGGATTCACATCGCACATATCAATCCCAGGCACCCGTCACCCGTCTGCTCACCATCATTACCGCACGCGCGTCTTCAAACAAGGCGCCCCGGCTCGCAGCTTCAGCCAACTCGAACCCTGGCTACTTAGGCCAGGCCTCCCGTCCGCTCGTCCCGGACCAGCCCACGATCAACCCTCGACCAAAGCCGTATTGCCTCCGCCAACTCCCTCTCTACCGCCCTCGCCCACCATCTTCATCCGCCGCCGCACTGAGGTGCACAACTGGGGAAGCATAACGATCCAAAGCCGTTCTCTCGCGCTAACCCCCGCTTTGGTTGGTCATCGACGCCGCCTCGAACCAAACGCAACCCAGGATCCCATTTTTTGCCAATTTCTAAGCCAAAAACTTTACTTTGCGCTGCGCCAAAGTGCGCGACCACCTGCGATCCTCGTCAAAGGGGGGGCTCTTCATTCCCACTAGGGTCGCGTCAATACTCGTCTTCATTTATTACCTCTCAGGTCTCAGATCTTGGGCTCGCCACACCTTTTCCTCCACTTCCCTTTTGCTGAACCAGAACCCCTGCAACTTCTCTGTCGTCGTCGTCGGACTGCTCCCGTGAGGGACTGATCATAAGGGCCGCGCGCCCACGCGTTCCGAGTCTGCGGGTTTGATACCCCAATACATGGACGAGTTCGTCCTGTTTCAAAATCCTTCTGTGGCGACTATCGCATCCCCATAGGCCCCTCAGCCTCAGCCCTACCAATGATGAGCACCACCTCGAGCCAGCACAAGAGCCCGCGGGTTCTGGCTTGCGTGCTCTGCCAACATCGCAAGATCAAATGCGACCGCAATACCCCATGCTCCAACTGTATCAAGGTGCGCTGCCGAGACCGTGAAGTTATCTAGTACTCTGGCCGCTGACTCGCATAGGCCAATGTCACATGCACTCCCTCCACACCAGCTCCTGCGCGTAAGAGACGGAGGCCAAATCAGGACTTGCAGGAGAGGTTGGCCAGGTGTGAAGCACTGTTGAAGCAGTATGCCACGACCGGTTCAACGACGCCTCCCGCCGGCCCTCCCACCGTCTCGAGCATTCTTTCTCCGTCAACCCAACCCACCCCCTCTTCAACAGCAGGTCCGTCCCCAAGTATAACGCAGCTGCCATTGCCCACAGGCACAGCCTCGATTATTGACGACATTGGCTCGCCTGCGACCTCACAATGGAAGCCAGCCGGCAAGGTAGTTGTAGAAGATGGCAGCGTCAGGTTTATGGACAGCTATCTATGGGCTACCGTTCATGATCAGGTGCGTAGCATCTCGCCGTTTGGGCAGCACATGGCATGCTCTTCTGCTCAAAAACAGAATCCTAATTCCTCGTAGTTGACAGCTATGCGACAAATCATCGAAGCAGAAGAGGAGGAGCAGAGTGTTCTAGGTTCCGACGCCGTTACCCCCGACGACAACGTGGATCTCTTGCTCAACGACTTCGCTGCCATCGACCTCGAGGACGTCACTCCGTCGCCTGTTCAGATCTTCAGACTTTGGCAGGTCTTTTTGGAGCGGGTCAACCCAATCACCAAGCTCATTCACGTCCCCAGTCTGCAGCCTTTAGTAGTCGAAGCTGCAGCAAACCACTCTAATGTCGCCAACAACGCTCAGGCATTGTTATTTTCCATCTACCTGGTTGCGACTCTTACCATGACGGAAGCCGAAGCTAGGCAGATGCTCGACTCTTCCAAGGAGGATGCGCTGAAGAAGTTCACCGCGGGTGTCAAGGCAGCGCTGACCAAGGTCAACTTCCTCAAGAACCACGACATGATGACTCTGCAGTCTCTTATCCTCTACCTGGTCTGTTCTGACTGTGTTGCCAAAAGGGTAAACTTGCTAACATCGCACAGGTCTCTCTCCAAGGCCGCTACAACCGTCATGCCGCCTGGGTGCTGAGCGGTGTATTAATAAGAATTGCGCAAAAGATGGGTCTGCACCGTGATGGAGACTCGCTCAACCTGACCCCGTACGAAACCGAAATGCGACGAAGGCTTTGGTGGCAGATCATCATGCTGGACACCAAATATGCGATGGTTTCTGGATTCTGCGACACGCTTCTGCCGTGGAACTGGGACACGAAAACGCCGCAAAACGTGAACGACGCCGATCTTTTCCCCGGCTCGACGGAGCCCGTCCAGCCCCGAGAGGGCCCGACTGAGATGGCTTTCTGCTTGCTCCTGTACGAGGTTGGCCGATTCATCGTCGAGAACCGAATTCCCGACTTCGAGGCAGTCGTGCTAGGCGCCATGGAGAACGAGTCCCCCGAGTCTCAGGCGACCAACCTTGCGACGTTGGCCAAGTACCGCACACTTGTCGACAATCTCGATTCGAAGCTTATTGCCCTCGAGAAGAAGTACTGCGATCCTTTGGCAGGCAACATTCACATTGTGGCAACCAAGATTCGGTCTATGATCATTGACAAGATGCGAACGATGATGATTCCGATGCGCGAACTGCCGGAATGGGGCACTGAGATCTTCAATGTGCAAGATAACATGTTCAGGATATCCCTGATGCACCACGAGCACAACGTTGAGCTTTACGAGTTTATGGAGAACACTGGGTTCGTGTGGTTTTTCAAGCTGCACTTTCAAATTGACGTGTTCATTGTCATGGCCGGACAGCTCTACAAGCGACCGACGGGCAGACTTGCAGACCGCGCTTGGAAGGTCATTGACAGGGTATACCAGTTCCATGAGGAGCTGTGGGACATGTCAAGGAAGGAGAACGTACAATTGGGCATCTACATGCTCAAGGCGTGGAGAGCACGAGAGAGATCCTTGGTGCAGCTTGGCATGCCCTACGAGACACCGCTGGCAGTACCCCGACTGCAGGACATCGTACCGCAGTCGAACTCGGAGGTATCATCAGCCGGACCCTCCCCCGCCCAGCCGATGAAGATGGAGGTTCCTCCACGACAAGACCAGCCCATGGACCAATATCTGGGCAACTTCCTCGATACGACAAATTTCTACGATCTAGACATGTGGGCGGACCTGGGTGTTCCCAACGGCAACATGAACCAGCAGTCCGCAGCGAACATGTTTGGGACATTTGGCAACTTTGGTGCACCACCGACGGGTAGATGGTAACGCCACGGATTGCGTCGTCCGGTGCATGGGACTGGAAAAAGGGGGGAGGAATCGCAAAGACAGGGACCGTCTTCGGCTGTTTAGAGGGGCGCGGGGCATTTCTCGGATGGGCATTGGATTTTCTCGCACCGGTTGTAAAGTGACAACTCTCCCAACATCTGTATCGATACTATCATGAGATGACGAAACCTACCTAATGGTAAATAGAAAGGGATTTCATGAAGCAGTTTTAGGAATGGTGCATGCAGTTTACATGGGGCGGTGGCTAAAGACAGATTTAGGAATCTGCTTGGCGGCCTGTCACGGCATACAGGCAACACACGTCCGCATGATTGCCTAGAGGTTAAGACGCGGGAGGCATCCTATGCTGACGACGCGGGGGCGCCAGAGTTGACTCGTCATTTAGGCGCCCCTGGTCAATACGAAAGTCGCATGACGGAGATTGAGATGACATGCTTCAATCAGATAAAGCCAAGTATCCTATCCTCGCGAACCTGTAGATCTGTCTTGCGCAACCTGGCAGTCGGTATGAAGACAGAAAGTGACGTGATAGGTGCTCGTTCTACCGGGAGCCGCCGAGGATACCACCGGCGTCGACGGACCCCGACCCCGACCTGTTTTCGCGGGAAACCGGGATGCAAGAGATGGACAAGCAAGATTTAGTTCGGCCGAGTGTGTATGTAGGACTCGTACAATTTTGGCTCTTGATTTTGGGGATGGGGTGGTCCGGAGAGTTGGTAATTACGGGGAGGGGGGAAACCGGGCTCGGGCTCGGGGTCTACCTTTTCTACTCTATTAGGAGGAGAAAGAAAGGCACGGGCAGGCAGCCAATTGGGTGGTGTAGGCGGACGGGTTCGGGTGTATCGGGGAGTTCTGCGTTCGGGGATGAGATGGCCGAGGACGGGGGGTGTTGGTGTGGGGTCCGTGTATTTCGGGACCGAGGGGGACGGGGGTGGTGATGATGATTGGGGGGTTTTGGTGGTTGGTGATTATTGGATAAATAGGTAATGGTCCCTGAACTTTTGACTTGTTTTGGCAAGCTCGTTTGTGTCGGATGATGTTGGATTGGTGGATGAGACGTAGTAGTGAGGGCAAGTGAGTGTGCTCCATGGCGGCTCTCAAATTTCGTGAAGCTCTGCACTCGTGATGTTATGAATCGATCGTATATCAAGTATATTATCGCAAGTCTTTCGGCATTTATTGAAGGGAGAATCATCCTGGCCTGAGTATGTTAGTTGCCATGTCTGCCTGAGGGAGCGGAACTACTGGACGACCTCGCTTTTTGCGATCTTGTTACGCGATGTCAGAGAGGTTAAGCATCGGGCGGAAAGATTCGAGATGCGATGATTGAGCGGGATTCTTGGGGGTCCAGTATTGAAAAGATAATGGCAGAGTTCCAGCTCGGGTGTAGGCCTTGGGGCTGCTTGAGTCCAGGGATGACGGTGTCATCCAATGAATGTCATTGCTAGTTGTTTTCAACAAGCTTTTTGGACGTCAATCCAGTGAAGAATGCATCCATTCTCGTGGATCTCCTCTGCACAGGTTGTTTGACAAAAATCCAGATATGCCACGCAGGACGGACGTCATGAACTGGCAGGTGGTTGCGGGAAGACCAGAAGACAGCTTCCAGGTAATTGCGAAGGCTAGTCTAATCGTGGAATGACGTTCAAGTTTGAGCTTGCCTCGAGGCTGTAGGGCTGAGGGAATGAAACCCTCTCGACTGGTGATCACCAATGTCAATAGATTGCAATACCAAAGTACCAATTTCACTGTTCTCTCGCCCTGTTCTATTCAAAGAGAGGCAACGCTGGCTGTGCTGTAAGCTGTCGATCTCGGCGAGATCTTTCTGGCCTGGTAAGTAAGCATGCAAGCCTCGGTACTCCACATCTTCCTCGTTCTCATGTTCGGTTTGGTGTGGAAAAGGGACTTTGGCTGATATAAGGAAGATCTAGCTGGGCCTGGGTGCAGACTGAGCCTCCGTTAAAGTGGCTGTCCATCTGAGAATTGCATCACCCAGGCAGGCTCATCCCGCTTTGCAGGGCCAAGCCGCCTTGCAGATGGAAACCGCGACCTTTCCTAATACGCTCGCCGAGAAAGCATCTGCAACCATCTGCACCAGACGGTTAATCTCAGGCACGCTCGAATTTGCAATGTCTCAGTGCAACACACGGAAATGCCCCGGGGAAATAGAAACAGCAAGTGGAAGACAACCTAGCAGCCAGGTTCGGCCGCCCAGGTCCCGTCCCTTCTTTCTTTGGACGTGTTGGACGATTTCCCTTTTCAGCTCGCCGAAGGTGCTGCAAATGCGCATTGGCCAATGGAAAGCCTCCGAAATGCGGGTATGAGTGGGGTAAGCAGGGTAGGACCGTGGCAAGACCCCGGCAACGCAGCAGCGGCGAGTGAGTCGGTCGGTGCCTTCCTTCCTTCTGAAGGGACTTTGGTTGTGATTGGCGTTGGTGTCGTGCAGCGGGAGCCAAGTTTGGAGGCTCTGTTTTTTTGTCTTGGGTCCAGGGAGGCGAAATCTGTCTGTGTGCGTTTTCAATTTTCCTTGTTTGGGTTTCACGACGGTGAGATCGAAGGATATAACAGGGCAGGGACGACTCGTCTCTGTGGATTGTTTGCTGGAGCTGCGTGTCCATCACCGACTACAGTTCCTTTGGGTTCCTGCCAATGTAGAGACCGAATCTTCTTATTGAAGCACAGAATCACCTGGGACACCTCTGGGCCGAATACCGATATACGAACGACGGCAGAATAATCAACAAAACGAGCGCTCGGCGGACTCGATCTGCCGTCATCGAACGAAACTTAGAAGACAAAAGCACGCGCCGCAATGTTGTTCAAGAAGCGCCGCAAAGAAGAGGTCGCCGTGGGCTCGCCGCCGGTCGACCAGCCCGACACCAACGATGACCTCAAGAAGGAAGCACAGCAGGAGCCGGCCAAGGATGCCGCCGCGAAGCCCGCAGCGCCGGAGGTGCAGTATCCCATGGGCTTCAAGCTGTTCCTGATCATGTTCTCGCTGCTTGTGTCCATGTTCCTCGTCGCAATGGTAAGTAACCTTTCAGATCGTCCAGAAAACACTCAATACTGACAAAACAACCTAGGACCGTCTCATCATCGCCACCGCCATCCCCCAAATCACCGACGACTTCCACTCCGTCACCGACATTGGCTGGTACGGCTCCGCCTACCTCCTGACCTCGTGCGCCTTCCAGCTCCTCTTCGGCAAGCTCTACGCCTTCTTCGACATCAAGACCGTCTTCACCGTCACCGTCGTCATCTTCGAGGTCGGCTCCGCCATCTGCGGCTCGGCCCCCAACTCCGTCGCCTTCATCTTCGGCCGCGCCATCGCCGGCGTCGGCGGCGCGGGCATCGGCTCCGGCGCCACCATGGTCATGGTCCACTCCGTTCCGCTGCACCGCCGCCCCAAGTACCAGGGCCTCTTTGGTGCCGTGTTTGGCGTCGCCTCCATCGCGGGCCCGCTGCTCGGCGGCGCCTTCACGTCGTCCAGCGCGACCTGGAGGTGGTGCTTCTGGATCAATCTGCCGCTCGGCGTGGCGGCGCTGTTTGTTATCTTCTTCATCCTGAAGGCGCCCGGACGCGGCCCGGCGGGTGGGTTGCCGTTGAAGGCTAAGCTGAAGCAGCTGGACTTTGCGGGGACAGCGATTGTTGTGCCTGGGACGGTGTGCTTGCTGCTCGCGCTGCAGTGGGGTGGCGTCGAGTACGATGTAAGTCATGCCCCCTTTTGGTGTTGAGAAACATGGGATCTGACTGTGAAACAGTGGAACAGCGCCCGCATAATCGCACTCCTCGTCCTCGCCGGCGTCTTCCTCATCACCTTCATCGCAATCCAGATCCTCTTCCCCAAGACCGCCACCGTGCCCCCGCGCATCATCACCCAGCGCTCCATCGGCTTCGCCGCCTTCGCCGCCCTCACCCTCGGCGCGCAGGCCATGATGTTCACCTACTACATCCCCATCTGGTTCCAGGCCATCAAGGGCTACTCGGCCGTCGACTCCGGCATCCGCACCCTGCCGCTCGTGCTCACGATGATGGTCTTCTCCGTCATCACCGGCGGCATCATCACGCGCATCGGCTACTACAGCCCCGTCATGATCGCCGGCAACGTCCTCATGTGCATCGGCGCGGGCCTCCTGACCACTTTAAGAGTGAACTCGGGCGCCGCGGCGTGGGCGGGGTACCAGGTCATCTACGGCGTCGGGATGGGGCTGATCTTCCCGACGGTCAACATCGTCGCGCAGACGGTGCTCGAGCTCAAGGACATCTCGATCGGGATCAGCATCATGATGTTCATGCAGACGCTCGGCGGCGCGGTGAGCAACTCCATCGGGCAGAGCATCCTCAGCAACGAGCTCGTGAGCAGGCTGAGGGGTGTGCCTGGGCTTGAGGGCGTGGATCTAAGGGGGGATGGCGCGACGACTGTGGTTAATCTCCCGGACGACGTCAAGGGGGCGGCGCTGGAGGCGTATAACGAGTCGTTGAGGACGGTGTTTATTGCGGGTGTGAGTTTGTGCTGTGCGGTGATTATTGGCACGGCGGGCGTGGAGTGGAAGAGTGTAAAGAAGGAGGAGCAGGCGAGGAAGAAGGCGAAGGAGGATGCGGAGGCGGCGAAGGCTGCGGCTGGGGATGTTGTTCTAGCTGCGGCGCCGGCGCCTGCTGTTGAGGAGAAGGTTGAGGGAGAGAAGGAAGTGAGGAAAGATGGGGTAAGGAAAGGAGAAGAAAGGGAACGATGAAGGGTAATCAGAATGGGTTGAAATGGCGTTTTGATGCTTTATGCAATGTCTAATGAGATTTGATGATGATCCAGACTTCCGCCCTTGTGAATCTGCACGGTCTTGTTGATAGCCAGACTCAACGTAAGAGGGGTATGTTTCACTGCATCACTGAGGCCCCTTGAGGTCACGAAACCTCCTTTACGTCGCCTCTTGGCGAGCCAGCTTTACTTTTGTTTTCTTTCCATCCCGCCTGTGTTATTCCCTTGGGGGGCGTTAAAAATGCAGTGAAGTTTAGGACGAGCCGTGCCGTGCCGCAGCAAGGTTACACACACCAAGAGATGGAACTAACATGCATGTCGGAAGCCACATAGCATAACATTAGAAACACCATTGGTTGAGACTTTTTTGCACATTTTTTGGCTGGCAGTAGCGCCTGCAGTGCTGCTGGACTCCGGATTTTGATAGGCGGCACCGGACCTACCACCTACGGCACCCAGTAATCAAGGCAATAGAAGAGCATAAGCATGTGCAGGGTTAGTTGTAGCTTCGGAATTGAAGGGGCAGACTCCCCATCGGCACCATTGATATGGAAGTAGTATTGAAAAGCTTGTTCAAGACTGAGAAAGTAATGCCATATTATCTTGTTATTGGAAGTTTAGCTGCTTCAACGTGAAGCACAATATGACGTTACCCGGCCTAAACTGCGACGTTTCTGAACGAACGGCAGAAAATCACGCTTTTTACCCGGCGACGACCGAGTCGCCTCCTGGAACTTTGCTCGCTGGTGCTGCTGTTGTTGCCTTGAGAGGGGTTTGGAATGCAGTGAAGTGGTCGAAACTAGACAATGTTTGCAGGTGGCTTGCTTTAGGTGATGCATGGATGTAATGCATGCCAGACTTACAATACCACATCTACTGGCTCACATTCTCTGCATACTTACTTGGCAGCAAAGTCGTCCGCATTACAGCTATCTTCGGATTCGCCCTTCCATAGGGCATGTTTAAGCCAAAAATGTGTAACCACGTACAGGGTCGCAGCTTCAGCCAGAGGAGCAGGTTCTTCGCCCATTCTGCTGATGTGGTGATTAGACCGAGGAATTGGCCACAGACCAAGAGAATGATGGTAGTTTGGTTAGTTGATCGAGTTGTGCGCGCTCCAAAGTAGGATGGGAAATTTCATTGCCTGGTCTACACTGTGATTGAATCCTTCTAAAGTGAAGAGGTGATTGTTTGATAGACAGCCGCGCTCATTGTGGTCATCGAGTACCTCTCTGCTGCTAAGTAGTTCTTCGCTGGTTTCAATCATGTTAAAGACTACTTAAATGCCTCGAGGGGGATGAAAATTACAGTGAACGTATCGTATTCGCCTTCGCTTATTCGGTTGCAGCTGGCCCTGAGCCCTTGGGGGCGGGCTGAGTTGCAATGAACATTCCGCAGGCTGGCCCGCAAACAATTAGACTGTTGGCACAAGGCAGATTTTCAGCGAACTTATACAGCGAGTGTATTACTTTTCCATGTCTCTATACAAGGTACCGATATCCGCTGCCTTACCCGCAAGGTTGCAGTCGTCCGCGGAGAGCCAATTCTGAGTGAATGAGGCTTCCGTTCCAGTGGCGACCAAGGGAAACGTCGGCTCTGCCGGAAAGTGGGAAAAGTCTTGCTTTTTCCGCCAGGCTAAGGTAAGGAAGAAACTAGCTGAGCCTGTTGTAGTTACTGCATGAAAAGCTGGCGTTGTGTTGATATGCTGGTGTTGAGGGTTGCGATGGAGAAGTAAAGGCACTGCCGAACACTCGCTGCGATGAATAACGGGCATGGTTTGGTGCATTGTATGCCCGGTGTAGCATGCACATTTTGACAACTTTCGAGAAGAGATTTGATGCATGATTTGTCAAAAGACAAATCACCATCTTGAAATTCAAAGTCAAAGTCTCTTATTGAAGCTGCAGTAACTTCAAACAGTTGGTGATATGAGTAACCTACGTCGAATTCCACCAAGTACTCGAGTTCCAGACTCTTGATTATCGTTTGATGGCATGAAGAACACCTTGGAATGCAAACATTCGTGTGGACCAATGTTGGGATTGACTTTTAACAGCAATAGCTTCATAGGCATGAAATCTTTTACACTCCCATGATTACGTCGCTAGACTGCACTCCTGGAAACGGTGAAGGGTAAGTAGAATCGGTTAGTTAGCGTTTTGATGCTGTAGTAGACTATTTCGTAAAATTCGATAGTACTCCAGCTTTGAAGCTTGTCAAGTTCTTAGTTTACGGGTGTCAGAAAGTTCCTGTCTCATCGAGACATTTTGAAGTAGTAATGCAAAAGCTTATATTACCTTCGAGTAACATTTTTGCCTCCCTCTATTCGTCAAATATGTCTTCTGTATGCGTTCCTATGAGGGGGATTAAAAATGCAGTGAAATGGGAAAGGAACCCGGTGCATGAGGTGTGGGCAGACTACGGAGAGAAAAAGACGCAACTTCAATTGGCTCTGCACAATTGCTTGGCAAGCAGTGGCGTCGCTCTCATAGGCCGTACCGTAAGTGCACAGTAGCTCCGGAACCAGCGGAGCGCATTGCCCGTCCAATAACAAAACCAAGGAAGGGTTCTGAGATGGTGAGAGTAATGGCACCTTACTTGATTTGGAGAAGCGCGATGACCTCAAGGTGAAGTGGAATAGGTCCTTGTCTGTATTGGACGGCAGGAAGGCACGCTGATTGTTAGATCATTTGTACCAAGGTAATCGAGATCTAGAATGACGGCAGGCTGCAGTTAGTTGACTTCCAAGCTTCTATTCTTCTTACAGCACTTTGCTCAATTACCGCAATACTAGACCCGTATGTTAGTTTCACAGATCAGTCTCACGGAGCAAGCACTTCGATAGTATTGGCATTGTGACAGTATTCCAGGGGTATGCGTGGCTCTGTGATGTGTCCAAGTCTTGACTTCTATATTACGAGTAAAGAAAGGTCGAGTAGAGAAAGGTCGGGTAGAGAAAGGTCGGGTAGAGAAAGCGCGGGTAGAGAAAGGTCGATAGCTAAGGCACGAAGAGGCAGGCAAACCTCGCTCAACAGAAGACACCTTGCTTGTATATTGGAGTCGCAACATCATCGGTTATTTTCCGTTGTTTACGAACTAGATCTTTTATGCGATTTATCGTGGACCTTGAATTATCCCAGAGAAGTCATGTAGACTTTGTATTTTTATTTCTCTAGGACTTTGATGGATTTCCTTCAAAACGATATTTCATTAAATCTGGGACACTCTACACAAGGCCTGTCAATCGTCTCGACGGGGTTAATATTGCAGTGAACTCGCCTCACATGGCATCGAAACAATTATACAAATTGCCTATCTGGGACAGAAACCATGCAGGTTGACGTGGCGCGTCAGCTGCAGGCATATGCTTTTCGGGGCGGACAAAATTGCAGCGAATCCTCGGAGCCTTGCAATTCCCGCACAGATATGCAGCATTCTCAGCGAAGCCACCGAGTGAGTGTCCCACTCTTGGATATTGCTTGTGTCCATTCAGATAACCGGAATCCGCAGCCCTGCCTCATACGTTGAAGTTGTCTGGCACAAGTCGATTCTGGACGAAAGAATCTAACCCAAAGACCTAGGTGGAACGGCAACATCTTTGGGCCACTGGATAAGTCATATTCTTGCTGCTAGATCAACGTGAAGGGAGTGTTGAGACAAGCCTATGGCCGTCACGTACTTGAGTGTTGAACATTAAGACAGCAGTTGGTCGAGACACAAGGCGTGGAGAGCGCAGCGAAGAATAGCCTTGTTCTGCAGAGGATCTCTGAAGGTGGTGTGGTAGTCATCAGCTTCGCCCTCTTGTAGTCACTCCCTTGGGGGTTGATGAAATTGCAGTGCGGTTGGGGTATCTGTCGACGAAAGCTGCATGGGTGAGAGCAAAATTTGGGGTAAGCCGTTCTGCTGCATCGCATTGGCTACTCACCTAGGACGCAGTGAACATCTGCTAGCAGGCTGTCACAAGGAGACCGTTGCCAGCACCTCACTGCGGCGGCGGCGTCCATGGAAAGAGTCAGGAAGGCTGTCAAGGAAGACCTGCTTAAAGTCCATGGCTTGCTTGCCTCCCAGAAAACGGAAGGATGATTAGTTAGTTCCAAAGAAGAATAAATGCCTAGAAGACGTGGATGCTTGAGTATAAGTCCATGGCACCATACGTCCGGTGTTAAGTACGGGTCTGAATGCTTTCGTTGCTGGTGTAGGGTCAAGTGGGCAACTGTTGAGGGATAGGTAGGCTTCCTGACAGCAATGGAAACGTCGCCTTTCTGAAAATGCTGACACCTCTGCTTCTGGCTTTAGCGAATTGAGTTTTGCGTAAACTTTCGGAGAGAAGCCATATCTAGTGTCTAGTGTTCTGAAGAATACTTGTACTATCCTCTCATGCATGAATACTTTGCTCTTGCTTCCACGATGACACTTCGGCACGTGTAAGACATGATTCTCGGGACCAGATCATGGAAATGACAGGGCTCACAGGGCTCGATCGTGTAATGCACACGTAATCTTTACCAGCAGTGATGCATACTTGCAGCCGCCTGCATGGATAGCAAGGGGCAGGCATCATGCAGGATGACATCGGGCGTCAACTGCAGCCGTCCATGTGCCCTCGGGGGCGGTTCAGATTGCAGTGAAGTTACAATTTTCTGAGGGCTATAAACCAACGAAGAAAATCTCACTGAGTCACCTTAAGAACTTGCCATCTTGCTTTCAGCATTGGGGTTCCTTAAAAAAACTTCGATCATGCAACCAAGACGGAATATAAGGGAGAATTCAGTATCCTGAGGCTGCTGGAAGACGTCGCAGTCTTGCTACCAAGTTGGATTCTGAGGGGAAACTGGACGTCTTGTTGTCTGGTGCAGTTCGCTTGGATGGAATGAAATTGCCCTCCTCATTGAATAGGACGAAAAGAAAAGCATGCGTTTTGGGTGAGTATCGCGGTCGAAAACCAGACTGGCTTGCTGCCAGGCGGTTGTGGCCCGGTTGAAATTTTCGTCATTGAGAAGATGTCCTGCAGGTGAGTTTGAATTGCAGTGAAGTCGCTATTTGTTCCGTAAAACAATTCTTCCGCTTGAGAACTTGACACCGGGCTGCAGCTCCGTCATTGTCAAATCTACCAATCGCTGGTGCTTATTCTGTCAGTGTGGTCATGTTCAAGTTCGTCTTCAGTCGGACGGTGAAGAAACGTAGGGATTATGTTGCAAAGCTGATGTAATGAATTTGGGGATGTACGGATTCGTGCACCATTCTATTTGATGTGATATGGGGGATATTGCAGTATTCAAGTCCAAGGAGGCGCGGTGTTGTCTGCAATAAATAACCCTACTTCAAGCCTACTATGTTTGTTATAGGATGTCAATAAGTTCGTGCATATACTGGTCTCTTTCCGAGCTATTCATGTCAAGTAGGAATATATTGGATCCATAAAGACAAAAGATCACTAGTAACCCCTCAAAACCTCAAAGACACAAAAAGAACCAGGAACGGATGACCCGTCCGCTGGGAGATGTTAAGTTGCCTCGTGGGCGAATCGAACGCCCGATCTCCTCATTACTAGTGAGGCGCTTTACCACTGAGCCAACAAGGCCTTGATTGATGACCAACTACGACGACGAGAAGCTCATGAGGTTGTGGTGGAGATGTTGTGGAGTTGAATGGGAGTCTGGGGTTGAGATGTTGCGTGGAGTTGGGTTGGCGACGATTGTCGTATAAGTCGTCAGGTGGGTTGTGACTTCACAACTTCAGTTTCAGTTCTCCGCTCAAGACTTCAATCGGGGGACCTGGAGACCAAAAGTCGGTTTACATGTGACAAAGAGTGTTGACAAGGGTCAAGGAGTGCTGTCATGTAACTCCTTTCATAAGCTTTGTGCTGTGGAACTTAGTCTTGGGCAACTCTGGTTGGGATCTTGAAACAATGCCTTTGTGTTAACACAGGACGTCGACAATAGCATGGAAAGCAGATGTCTGATGACTTGAGTCTTGTTCAATGAATTGTATCGCATCATATAAGTATCTGAAGCACTTGATAATGCCCGTTGGTCCTGGTCTCCCTTGAGTGGTCATAACTGATTTCAACCACTTCGACTCAAAATTTCCTCTGCCATTCTGCTATTTCCACGCCCAAACATATAGTCAACTCGCCCCTTCATCTCTGAACCACTGACACGCCTTCGAGCTCTGCTTACAGCAGGAGCTGAATGAGGCCTCTTCTCTGCGGCAGAATCTCCCAAGTTCAGTTTCGATCCAAGTCCCTCTTTAATACCTGAGAAGCCACCATGACAACCCCCTCACCAGATGACCTCCTCTCCCAGCTCCTCGCCCAACCCTCCATAGCCTCCGCCCGTACCCTCTCCAAAACATCCCCACCCCTATCCCAAGCCTTCAAGGACAACCTGCTAACCATCCTCAAGCACCACATCGCCCCCTCCGCCTGGCACATCGCCCTATCCTGCGTCGACCGCCGGCTCCTCTCCAAAAAGCACCGCGCCGCCTTTGACGCCGACTTCGCAGCCGACGCCGTCGCGGACCCCCGCAACGCAGCCCACTGGGACCTCCACGACCTCTGCGCCCTGGTGTCCATCATAGATGGGCTTTTCTTCCACATCGGCGACGTCGGCCACGGGGAGAACCCGGGGGTGTACTACGATAGTATCGCCGACTGGGAGGACAGCTGGCGCGACGGGCGCTCGTTCCGGTGGAGGGGTCAGCCTGAGCGGCATCCCCTGGGTGAGAGGAGGAATTTAGAGAGAGACCAGGGTGGGGAGGATCCCGAGAACTTCAGGTGGGCGTTCCAACGCCTGGCAGGGCTGAGAGAGGGCCCGTTGCTTTTTGAAGGTGTGGATGTGGATTTCGACGAGGACGGGGAGGCGCTCGACACCCGCCCGCGCCTCCAGCGCGCCTTCTTCCGACTTGAGTTCCTGCGGAGGGCGTACTACGCCCGTCCGCTCTTCCCCAAGGGGGCGCGCTGGCAGACGCGCGAGGCGACGTTTGTGAACGGCGAGCCGACGGGCGTCGCCGGCGAGACGTACGCAACGCGGCTGGCGCGCGCGGAGGTGGTGTTCCGCGGCTGGACGAAGGACGACTTCACGGAGGTGATTTGCGCGTTCAAGGCGACGCTGAATCACTACGCCGTCGAGGTGGACGCGATGCTGCGCGACTTCGGGGATGCGCTGGAGAGGGAGCACATACCCTGCGCGGACGTGTACTGGACGACCAAGGTGAACAACGCGTGGAAGAAAGGGATCGAGGAGGACGCGGCGGCGGTGGGGTTGCAGTATGAGCGTAACGTCTTCTGGGACGACGAGGAGCGGGAGAAGGTGCTGTTCGAGGAGGAGGTGGACGACGAGTTTTACGAGATGAGGCAGCGGTTGTGGGATGAGCGGTTGATGCAGGAGGACCATGAGAGGAGGATGCTGCTGCCGTTGTCGCGCGCCGAGTTTGATGATATGGGGTGCACGATTTTCAGGTCGTCGATCGTGCAGAGGGCGTGGTACCCCTACGGTGTCCGATATGAAGACAAGCCTATTCTTCCGGAGGCGGCGCCGGATGAGGAGATGGCGCGGTATTTTCATGTGCTGTGCAGCCTGCCGCTCAAGTTCCTGGATCGGTTCATCAGGATGGAGAGGGAGGAGAAGCGGCGGTTTCTGAAGACGATGTACCACGCCATCTCGCGGATGAAGGCGTCGCACACGCCGCTGTTCCTTTCGGGAGAGGTGCGCGCGTGGTCGAGCAAGCCGGCGGACGCATCAGGCGCGCGGCATTGGGACTATACGAGGGAGCCGCGGCTGTTCCCGGAGCTGGCGGTGCGCTGCGTCACGCTGTCGTGCCTGTCTAAGACGTATGTAGTGTCCTGCGACCCCTGGTACCACGGGTGGCGGCTCTGGCAGGATACAAACCTGCAGAACCAGAACCGCTGGAAGTGGGACAAGTGGGCGCTGACGCCGTTCGCTTGGAAGCGGTTCCGGGAGCGGGAGTTGCGGTACGATTTCTTCGACATCAACCCGGTCCTGCGCACGAAAGGCGAGAGCTGGGAGGTTTTGTGGCGGTCGCCGAGGCGGTACCTGCGGCTGATCTGGACGGGGCCGGAGGCGGATAGGCCGCGGTGGGAGGGGTATCTGCATCCCGGGCGGCTTGATCCGAACGAGTGCTACTGCCATGTCGGGGAAGGGTGTGCGATGTGCACGCCGTTGCCGTTGCCCAAGGATCTGCAGCTCGAGTGGGAGTTGTTCACGCCTGAAGAGATGGAGGCGGAGCTGGAGTTTGAGAGGAAACTGCGTGAGCCTGCCGAGATGTATGATGAGCTTCTCAAGAAGTATGAGCTGGAAGACTGGAATGCTTGAAAGGTAAGTCTGGTAGGTTTTATTTGTATCGTCTGTCTGTGAAATTAGATGCTTATGTATGCCCGAAAAGGTTGAAAATAATTGGCCCAATATGTCTCTTTTTTGATATGAAAATGCCTAGTGCTGGCTTAGAAGATTTCTCTATCGTCGTACGCCCTGACGCTCTCCAGGTAGGTCTTGACCGCATTATAATCCTTGCACACTGTTTGAGGGCATCGTCAGTATTGGAAGGTCTCGATGGCGTAACACAGACTTACCGTGCTTCGAGTCCCAACCGTCGGAGCCACCGTTGTGGTCGGGGAAGGTGGTCTCAAGGCCCTCCAGCGCCATGTCGGCGCTGCACATGATGGTTTCTCTGAGGTACGAGAAGCAGTGGATCATGTGCCAGTGGTGATCGTCGGGGATCTCGTGGCCGGACTTGAGACCGGAGTAGGTCTGGACGACGGCGAACTAGACGGCATGTTAATCTGGCTTTGTTGTGTTAAGTAGTTGACGTGAGTGAGATCTTACCAGGCAGTGAAGCTGGTGGGTGATGGAGGTGGTGAAGACGGTCTTCTCGGGCCAGACGATGGGGGTGGGCAGGTCGTGGTACTTGTGCGTGTCGTTGACCCATTGGAAACCCATGCCAACTATTTTCTTTGTTAGTGCTCTCGTCTCGTTCCCTTTTGAGGAGGTTTCCAACTTACTCGGCATCAGCTCGTTCCAGTTGTTGAGCACCTCATCCGTAAAGAACTTTGACGTGTCGTTGGGCGCGTACTTGCCCTCGTAGTCCATCTCGAACTTCTTGATCTGCTGGGGGAAGTGGCCGCTGACGCCCGTCAGGTCACCCCCGAAATCCCAGGGGTTGACGGGGGGCTTGTCCATCCTCTCACGGACGAGCAGGCCGAGGATGACGAGCAGCAGTATCGTGTCGACGAACCACCGCGACGAGTTGAGCATGCTGAGACACCGGTTCCTCCTCTTCTGCGGCCTCGCGAAGTCGCGGGTGTACTTGTCGTCGCCGCCGCCGATGAGCGACTCCTCGACCTCGGTGCTGCTGCGGTCGTCGTCCTCGAGGTGGAGGTTGGCGTACTTTGCCTCTGACATGTCCATCTTTGCTGCTGCTGCTTGGTAAGGCGGATCTACCGCTTTGAAGAAATGAATGTAGTAGATACTTGGATGTTATTAAAAAAAAAAAAGAGGGTCACGATGCCAGACTTGACCGGACAATGGGTGAGGACCAACGAGCAAATGCGCCAGCGCCAAGGAGAGAAAGAGAAGGAAGAGGCGAAGAGAGAGAGAAGGGTACGGCGAAGGGGAAACACCGCCTGGCTCTATGGTGCTTTTGTTCAGTCGGCCACGGCCATGGTGGCTGTCCCTCGTCCCATCTCGCCAGTCCTTTTCGTTACCACATCGTCTCCGTCCCGTCTCGAACGAGAGTCTGAGGCTGAAGTTTCAGGACAGGGGATGTCGCTGTTGTAGTCTGGGGGAGATGAGAGCTGGGAGGCTCTGCAGTGGCTGGAACTGTGTGGTGAGGAATATTTAGCGACCTGGGGAGGTCACATCAGGACGTTTCACCCACCCCGAAAGCGCCAAGCGGCCCCCGCAAGCCACCGCCAGCGACGTTGCAGCTCCTGGTCGAGTGTTTCCAGTCGCGTTTTCAATCCGTCCGAAGGCGGCCACTTCAACACTTCTGAGGCGCCCTATTCGTCGATCCCCTCGTCTCTACTTGCCGCCCTTCCGCCCTACCGCTCCCCTTTCAGACCAAAGACCAAAAAGTGACACACGCATGCTGGGATGAAATGTTCCGATTTTGCCGTGCTGCGATTCGTTGCGAATGGTTTTTAATCAATTAGCTTGCCAATGGCAGTGTCCTCGGGGGATAAAATAGATTGTAAGCTTGCTTTTGCTCCCCCCACGCACAGCGACTACTTTGGGTACACCCACAAATTAATCTCGAATAAGCTCCTTAGCTGCCCCCATCCCGCCCTTTCACCTCGATCGTGCATGAACCCATCCTATCTTTAAGAAGACGTCTAGCGAGCTGAGGAGGGCGAGGCTTGACTCTAAATTTATTTAAGCATTCTTGGCCGGATGCATGGTGACGACCAGTTGTGGAATTGTCGAAAACAGGGCCGTCGTGCGAGAAGAAAAGGGATTGGTGTGACGTCGTTTCATTGTCTCGAAAAAGTCAATGGGATGATGCGCGACCCCTCATCGATCTTGGTCAGTGCCAAGGCGCACATCATCTCAAGATGCGCAAGTTGAAGCGACGGGTTGTGGCTGACAGCTTTGATGGCTTGAACCCCTGGTCGGTCTGGAGAAATGCATTATCCAATAGACAAGGCTGGTCTAGAGGCAGTGTACAGTATTGATTGATGCTATGGTCGACATCAAGCGTGGCCGACACATGGCAAGTAATGTCGGAAACCAACTCTGAGTCCATTGACTCTCTCAGGTCAAGTTCATGACCCTTGAATCTCATCAGGATCGGTGGCAGTTCTCGAAAGCCTTCTCTGTGCAAATCATACAGAACCACTGCTGCCCGGTGGAAGTAGGGAAACAAACGGCTGTTGTTTTCTTGGGTCGATTCAATCTTAGGATGCGAGCCCTTTGCCGTCCTGTTCCTTGATGCAGCGTCTCTTCCCCCCTTCCCGGAAAAGGCCAGCTCTTGGCAGACACGAGAATCATGGCATTGCATAGCCTTTGGCTGGTCATCCCCTTGCCTGGCATTCTCAGACTGATGCAATTGATCTCAGCGAAAACACCACTTGAACCATATCCGGGTGAAGGCCAACAAGCTCACTGCGTTTCTCAACTCCATCAGTGATCCGAGATCTTCCAACTTCGGGCCGTGAATTCCAGACACTAACAGCAGGGCGGAAATCTTCGCGCTCCTGACTTGGACCGACGTTCGGTGTTCGGGAACCTGCGTCCCATCTCCCAAGCCAGTCCGACTCCTTACAATCACCAAGCCTGCTTCGTTGATAGAGACCCCAATGATCGCTTATTACACGTGAAGAAGTATCTATCGTGAGGTACGGCACGAGTCCATACCATATAAACCTCACATTGCCCGCCATAGGCCTCAAAGCACACGAGTCCAGATTCGAAAGTTGGGAGTGCCACGATGGGTCAAAAGCTGGCATTACATCTGCGTAAATGTCAGCCACATTCACAGGCGATAGCCCTCTCCTACGTGATAAGATGTTGAACGCCATTTGTTGGGGCATTTGGGTGGTGTCTCCTGAAAAACGAGCGAGAAGACAAGCTTGCCTCGGTTGTGTAAGTCATACCAACCTTCCAAGTTAATTGTCACAATACTCAAGAAAGCTTTGTGGAGAGAAATAGCAAGGCCATAAGGCCTGCCTTCGTGTATTACGTTCCATGGGAGCAGCTGCAGCGCGCAGCCCCAGCTCCCTATATGTGTGGGTATGAATATATACGGGGTCATATCCATCATGAGCTCATAAAAGTCCGGGCCACTCCATCTTTTGACTCTCAGGTCGGCTGGCCCAACACAAAACTCCGAAAACGAATAAGAAAACATTAAACATTGCAGTGAGGGGGTATCAAGTGGTCTTAACCGGGTTGTATCCTCTAAACATATCGCACGGGAGGTAGTTGTTCTCGATAAACGGCGTCGCGACCTGGAAGCCGGCCACATCCCCAAACGCCGCGTCGGCGGGGAACGGGCCGAGGCTGGAGCGGACGGAGCCGCGGACGGGGACGGGCGCGAAGGCGCCCTGGGACAGGGAGGTGTTGAAGAGGCGGATCTGCTGGTCGCAGGCGGTGCCGTTGGCGAAGATGGGCTGGTTGATGATGCTGTCGAACATGGACAGCGTGTACGGGATCGGCTGCTGCTCCGCAGCGCGGCGCATCGTGAGGGAGATGCGCTTGTCGCCCGCGGCGGAGGAGCCGTTGAAGTAGGTGCTGCCGCTGCAGGTTGAGAGGGCGCTGTAGGCGTTGCAGTCCGGGGCGAAGGTCGCGGCGTGGACGGTGGTGCCGTAGGCCTGGGACCCGGTGACGGCTGCGGGGTTGGTTTCCGAGATGAGCTGCTCCGGGGCCCAGCGGAAGTTGGAGGTGCCGTCGCCGAGGAGGTCCAGGAAGGGGAACTCGTATCCAGCTTTCTGTGTGCCAAAGTGTGTCAGTGAGTGGCCCTACAGAAGAATGTCTCGGGGGCCAGGTAAGGTCTTACACTGAAGTCGGGAATGCCAAAGTCCTGGAAGCGGATGTCGTGGTCGTGTCCGGCCTGGACGACGACAGGGTACATGCCGGCGGGGAAGTCTGGCATCACGGCGCGGAGGTTGTTTTCCAGGATGGCGAAGGGGACCATCTGGCGCGCGGCGGCCATGGGGATCGGGAAGATGGCCATGGTGACGTTCAGCACGCCAGTTGCGTTGTTCGGGTGCTGGGCCCAGAGGGGGTTCGGCTGGTCGACGTTTGTGCAGGTCGGCGGCGTTACCTGGGCGGCGGTGGTCTGCATGTGGACGCCGAGGACGACGAGCAGGGCCGCGACAGAGGCCTGGACGAGGTAGGTAGAGAACGGCATGTTGAACCACGAAGACAGGCTCTCGGGGGCGTGGAGAGAGACTTTCTTGAGATCTGGGCATGGCCAGAGGGAGGGGAGGAGGGTGACCATGGTTGCTTTAAGAAGCTCTCAGTCTCTGAGTCTCTCTCTCGGTGCAACTTGGAGCTGACGGGCGAAGGAGGTATGATTGGGGCGGTGAAACATCCGGATGCGAAAAGAGGTTGAATCCTGGCGGTCGATCCGGGAAATATACTCTGCGGCGGGTTACGGTACCGGTTCTTTTCAAGACCGGGAGCCGCGTCGATCAGTGATGGACACTCAAATTCCCGAAGGGGCTACAACGGCTGGAAAGGACTCGTTCGTCGGCGGGGAGGGACACTTGAGGAAGGGGGGCGGGTTGATGTGACGACGATCCGTCCATGAGCCGACAAGAGGAAGACAGGGCTCTCCCGAGATGTCTTCCTTAAGAACGGATGCGACTACGATGAAGGGTGGAACGGAAAGGGCGGTTGCCAGTCACAGGAAGAGCGGTCTCTGGGATCCAAAGTTTCTGGCATTGTGGGACGACGGCGCGTGCCCGCACGGATGGGATGAGTTCATGGTTTGTGTGTAGGATGCATATTTGGGCGGGAGGGTGATTGGACTAGACGACGCTTGTTGTTGCTTGGTGTATCCGGTGTAGTTGTGTACATAGCAGGTGGAAGTCATTGTGGTGGTGGTGTGTCTGATGTGGTGTGGAAGCTTGGAGGGATGGCCCATGGTTCGGAAACGAAGAACCGAGTTCAGGCTTTCCACCGTTCGGGAAGGGAGGGACGGACGGTAGTGGGGACTACCTTCCATGGACGCAGCGGTTGACACTACGTGACAAGGGCCGCATGCGCTGGTGTTCGGGAGGGAGAGAAGCCAGACGCTCGGCTGCAGCCACAGGCTCGGATGGTTGGCGTTCCGGGCAGTTGGGAAGGGCCAGCGTGATCAGTCGCCCAGCCACGGACACGGAAGCCCGAGGGACCGGCCGACCCAATGGTACGTGTGTTTCTTGCGGCTTCCATCTTTTTATCGAGATGGGTTATTCTTGACTTGAAACCACGCGAGGGCAGCCGGCCAGCGGGGAGGCGGATGATCGTTGGGCTTTTGGTTGCGGGTTGCGGAAGCGGCAGATAACGCCTGCTGGACCCAAACAAGCGGTCGGTGGCTTGTTCATGTTGATGTTTATGGTAGTGATGTCTTACTGCGTGGCATATACAGCGAGGTTGTAGTGTATACCGTGTCGTTATGGCCATCATATCGGACATGGGTGGTGATATGGTTGTGGTGGATGTGCCATCATGGTGGTGGTGGTGGTGATGGTGGGTAGGTTCGTCTCTGCATGTCGTACGTAGTGACAGACGGTGCTAGCCCTGGATGTCCTTGGTTTGGGCGCTGTTGACATTGACAGGCCGCGAGAAGATGGCAGCTGCAATGACTCAATGAGAGACAGGAAGGGCACTCGTCCGTCGTCGGAAGGCCTGCGGGTGACGGGCTGTCTTGAAGGTTGATGAAGATCCGAGGTTTCAAGTCGCGACCACTCCGCAAAACTCGCCGCCGGCGTCGTTGGCTGGATCTTTGGTTGAGTACGTACCGAATCACCGCTCTATCTTCAGGTCAGGAAGGAAGGACTCTATCTCGTTCAGTAGACTCCTTCCACCAGCAGCAACATTGTAACCGGTGCCCTCTTTATCCGGTCTAGCGCGGGTTTTGCCGAGAAGCTGCAGCTGCAGCAGGCGACAACAGGGTCCTGCACCTCCCAGAAATCGGATTTCAACGGTTTTTGGTCCCTGAGCTGCTGCTTGGCGGCGGCATCTGCAGAGCACAGCAGAGGCTGTACCTTAGAACACACAAGTCCATCCATCTGCATCATTGGAAGGATCATCTTAGTCAGAGCACATGAGGTTGCAGTGTTTCTTCCCCAGATGCACCCAATCCATCATGCATCAATAATTCCCTCTGAGATACCCAAGTCCCGTTTTCCAGTGACGATCCTCAGCACGTCAAGGTCACAGTATCACTCTTTAGAGAGGAACTTTGGGCAACGCAAGGCACGGCAGCGGGACCCTTGGGCTCTTGGTGCGGACACTATCGCCCGGAACTGAGCTTCCCGGCATGGGCTCACCTCATTTCATCTCAACGCACCGGAAATCACTACCGCGTCAGCACGAAATCCATCTTGAATTGAATTCTGGCGGTGTGAGAAGCGCCCAAAAAGTATCTCACTCAGTCAGAGTCAACGCCCAACCTCTTTCTCTCTGTTCCTCTTCCTCCCGAGTTCTGAGACCTGCTAAAGACCTCGAGGATTGACAAAGTTCACAAGTACCTACCCAAGTACACAAGTCCTTGACTCCCATTCGGTCCGCGCCCCCCTTTCCCATCAACGTAGCGACTTTTAGCAGCTCACCCACCACACCACACGACACGAACCGCAACGTGCCAATTTGCAAACTCAACACGCCCCCCTCCCCTCCCCGCAGATCCCTTTCCCACAGACAAAGTCAGGTCAAAGCCGGGTCAAACACGTCCGATCACACCCTTCCCTTGAGGTACCACCCTCGCGGCACAGAGCCACTACCGCCCCCCAACCCGCAACAACCGCTCATCCCCCCTTTCGCCGCAAATGGCCGCCGTCGCCGATCAACCACCCCCGGCCTACCCCGGCACCGAGGAGAAATCCTCCGCGCCCGCCGCCGGCCCGCGCAAGACGCCCCTCGCCGCCCCTGTCCCGGCCTCCTCCACCCCGGCCCTCACGCCCCTGACCCCCGACCAGCAGTCCAAGTACGACGCCCTCCTCGCCCAGGCCCGCGCCTGGTCCGAGGTCAAGTGCCCGACCGCCGCCCACGCCGACAAGTCCGGGCCCCTCACCGACTCGGAGCGCCAGTGGCTCACCCGCGAGTGCCTCCTCCGCTACCTGCGCGCCACCAAGTGGGTGACCAAGGACGCCGAGAAGCGCCTGCTCGAGACGCTCGCCTGGCGCCGCGAGTACGGCGTCGAGGCGCTGACCCCGGAGCACATCTCGCCCGAGAACGAGACGGGCAAGCAGATCATCCTCGGCTTCGACAAGGAGCGCCGGCCGTGCCACTACCTCAACCCGGGCCGCCAGAACACGGACCCCTCGCCGCGCCAGGTCCAGCACCTCGTCTTCATGCTCGAGCGCGTCATCGAGGTCATGCCCGCCGGCCAGGAGAAGCTCGCCCTGCTCATCAACTTCAAGACCTCCAAGAGCCGCGGCAACACCGCCCCCGGCATCGGCCTCGCGCGGGAGGTGCTGCACATCCTGCAGACGCACTACCCCGAGCGTCTCGGCAAGGCCCTCATCATCAACGGTATGTTCATGTCACTTCTTTTCTTGCATGGCTGTGTCTAACAAGAAACAACAGTCCCATGGGTCGTCAACGGCTTCTTCCGCCTCATCACGCCCTTCATTGACCCCATGACGCGCGACAAGCTCAAGTTCAACGAGGACATGAAGCAGTACGTCCCCGAGGAGCAGCTGTGGACCGAGTTCAGCGACGGCAAGCTCGAGTTCGAGTACGACCACGACGTCTACTGGCCCGCCCTCAACGCCATGTGCAAGGAGAAGCGCGACGCCAGGACGGCGCGCTGGGTCTCTGGCGGCAAGTTGATTGGCGAGTCAGAGGACTACCTTGGAGGTGCTGCCGAGAAGGGCGTGGGTGCTGAGGGGGCGGAGACGAAGGCTGCTGCTTGATTTTGTTCAATGTTTCAAAAGGACGGACAGAACTTCTTTCAGTCATATATTTGGTAGTATTCAGTATCTATAGACAAGGCGATAAACGCCTGGGGTAATGCGTAGAGGGAAATCAAAAGAACCGTTTCAAAGCTTTTCGATAGACACAGTCAGCTTGCTCTACTTTACGAAATGTTACGACCTACGAAATAGCGATGTCCCCCACAAACGTTTATCAATCGTTCGAATGGATTGTCACAGTTCAACGTGAGACGTTGAGATCACAGCTCTTATCTAATCGCCGATAAGGCTGCACCAACCGCCCCAAATTCCCCAGCGCGCCCGACCGCCACGACGACACAAGCTACCCCAAAAACCCTTGCAGCCTTCCAACGTCACTCCTAGCGCGAGCGCACTCTTCGAGGCCACCCAGATTCGGACAGCTCGCACCAAGCAATAAACCTCCACGATACGGCACGACACGCCCAATGCCACCTCCATAACAGCAACCGTCCACGAAACAAATAACCAAGAGAACAAAATGGCAAACATCCAAACGACAAAGAGCGTCCCCGGCAAGGAGACGCCGGGCCTGCGGTACCCCTCCAACGGCAAGACAATCTACCACCGCCCCCTCAACCGCACAAAGACCGCGGAGCTCAGCCAGGCCAGCTTCGCCTACCTCTTCAGCGAGATGGTCTCGTACGCCCAGCGCAACGTCAAGGACATTTCCGAGCTCGAGCAACGGTACGCCCCGCCTTTCCCCTTCCCTGCCCCCAATCCCCATCCCCTCTTCTACCGCAGCACAGCTAACATCCCCAACCCCCAGCCTCAACGTCCAAGGCCACTCAATAGGCCTCAAGCTCCTCGACCTCCTCCTCTTCCGCGAAGCCCCGCGCACGCAGCTGCGGCCCCTCACAATCATCAACCTGCTGCACTTCATCAAGCAGTCCGCCTGGCAGCACCTCTTCGGCCGCCAGGCCGACCGCCTCGAGAAGAGCGCCGACCCCGCCAAGCCCGACGAGTACATGATCATCGACAACGAGCCCCTCGTCAACGCCTACGTCAGCGTCCCCCGCGAGCTGTCCCAGCTCAACTGCGCCGCCTTCATGGCCGGCATCGTCGAGGGCCTCTGCGACGGCGCCGGCTTCCCCGCGCGCGTGAGCGCGCACAATTTGAAGGATGACAAGGAGATGTGGCTCGGCATGACCGTGTTCCTGGTCAAGTTCCGCCCCGAGGTGTTGGAGAGGGAGGGGTATTTGGGCAAGAGCTAGATGGGCTGGCTGGGTGGTGTTTGGGGGAGAACAGAGAGTGTGGTTTGTTTGACGGCGTTAATGGGGCATGGGCGGCGTTTTCGGCGATGGGTTTCGCGTTGTTATTTCACTTGTGCAGATGGCCACATCATCACTGGGGTTATTTGAATGGTACAGTCGCGAGTAGCAAGTTCTCTGCGTTGATGAATAAAACTGTTCAATCTCGAGATCTGCCCGTCACAGCGTGACCTGCCCTCTCGGGAACCACCACGCGATGCGCAAGCAGGTACCTCTGCCATCATACCTCCATCCTCCATCCATGACCCTCAAAAACAATGCCCGGGTATACCAAAACGCCATCCCACCACCCTCCCCATCATCTCGCCACCGTAGCACTACCCCCTCACCGCGGCATCCGGCTACCTCCCGCAGCACCCTTGCCCTTCACAATCGGCGGCCCGCGGTTCATCAAGCCCGACAGCCCGAGATCCTTCCACGCGGCCTCCTTCTGCCGCTGCGTCGCCTTGGTGATGCCAAACGCCGCGTGCTGGTCCGGCACCACGTCGTCCTCGTCCTCCGGGTTGATCGGCTGGTGCTGCGGCGGCACGTACACCTCGTCGTCCGGCAGCCTGTCCTTGCAAAAGTCCTCAAAGAGGTCGGCGTCGCGCGCGCGGTGCATGTGCACGTACGTATAGCTTGCGTCCTTGTTCTGGTTGGGAGAGGGCGGACGGGTTAGTCTTTCGGCAAGGGGGTCTGCAGAGTTTGGGGGGATGTCGACGAACCATTGCAGCTTGATCTTGTAGACTGGGCTATTTTTGCTGATTTTCAAAGCACATGTGTGTTTGCTCGCGAGGAGTAGGAGTTGGCTGGGTTGAAGTTAGTGTTGATGTTGACGCCGGACCTCAGCTCCATATGGATCCACCCTTCGGCAGATCCCGAGCAGGGGTGCCTGCAGCCGCAAGCTCAGCGATCCAGACGTCACCTGCAACAACAGTCCAAGGTTTCTTTTGGAACAAGGAGCATCATTCAAACATTTTGGGTCACCATGATCTCGAGGATTGGAAATGATGATTCCATTAATAATTAAGGGTTTCCTAGGTCATGAGCGCATCGTCTCTCCATAATGTCCTGCCGATACTCGAGCAATCACCCTCGCAACATCCAACCGCCAGATCAAAGCTTGGGTACGCAGGGGCACACCCATTCTCTGCAAACATCTACGTTCCAGAAGAGACATTTTCTGTCTCTGAGGGCGCAGAATGGGGGTCGCTCATTTCCAGGACAGCACGGCTCTGCTCCCCAAAGCTGACTGTCGACGGCATCGTCGGTGATCATGTCTTCGGAGGCTCTGGTGGAACTGCTCGTATCGATCGCGGAGTTGCTCTCGACAAGGCCTCTTTTCTGCTTCACGCAGTGGCAAGACCACTTTACGCACCGCCCCCGCGTATCCCAGCCGAGACACCGCCTTCCCTCTGACGCGCAGGAGTCATGCAGCTTGTGCCCGGGCGCACATTCCTCCACCAAGGATGAAGAGTGGGCTTCCGTTGCGGTGAATTCAACTTCGCGGGTGTCGTTGTTGTCGTTGGAGTCTGCAAAGGACTTCTCCATGACGCCCTCAGGGATGGCTTCGTGGAACGCCTGTGTCAAGTCGATCCCGAAATTGCTTGCGATCATTTGTTTGATCAATTCCGTGGCACTGTTGAATGTTTCGAACGCAGGGGTCTGGGCGGAATCGCGTTCGGTAGGAGTCTTTTCAATCTCAAAGAATTCGAAGACGTATTCTTTGATGCCGTTGATAAAGAGGGGGAGTCCTTGAGGAAAGTCCTTGAGTCTAGAAAAATCCAAGGCTGAGAGGAGACCATAGAAGAAGTTGAAGGGTTTTTCAGATAATTGGTCGATTTCCCATTTGATTTGATTATGAACGACGCCGATGTAGTATGAAGCGGTGGACTTGATGATCGCTTTCTTGTAGGGACTGCTCTCAGGACGGCTGTCGGGTGATTTCAAGTCTCTGATCCCAGAGTCAGCCGTTTCGTTCGCATGGTCACTGTTGTCGATGTCATCTTGGTTGACGGCGACGTTCAAGTCATCGAGGATGGTGTAGACGAAGTCGGTGAGTTCTTGAGGGAATGAGTCGATGGCCTTGATGGTGAGATCAGAGACAAACATGATGCCTTCTGAAATCGCGGACTTGACACGCTCTTTCTTCTCGGAAAGGTTCTCATCCTGGCTGTCTGGTGACCTCAAGTCTCTGCCGTCAGGGGAACTCTGGACGGGACTTGTCACAGCGAAGGCTGCAAGCGAGAGCAAGGGCATCCACAGAGCGAGCTTGACCATGGTGGGCGTTGTGTGGGTGATGCTTGAAGAGTCGTCCTGCCGTCTGTGGAGCTTGGAAGCAGACGTTGGGCGACAGAGGCTTGGAAGATGAGGCTCGGCTGACGAGGGCCGGCAGACGAAGTTTGGAAGATGAAGCTGTGGTGGTGGAAGATATGTTGCGTGGTTGATGCTGCAAAAAGGTATGATGGTTGGGGGATGTGAGTGATGAAGTTGAAGAGATCTGGAGACTGGCGGGATCGGGGGCGGTTGTTTATAATCCATCGCCTTGCCATCGAGGGGCCTCGCGGTTGTCTGTTGCAGATGATCGGCGAGACTTCCTGCGGTAGGAGGCCTGACGCTGCCTTCCATGAGTGGTGTCCAGAGGCTTCAGGGAAGGCATCATGACGTCGAAAGAGGCAGAGAAACTGCCGACAGGAAGGTACGAGAATCCCCAGTGGAGAGATGATCGGCCAAGAGACTTATGATAACGAGGTTGGAGGAAAGAACCACTCTGCGGAGAAGGGGAAGAGGGCATCGACCAAAGCAACTGCGTCGGCGATAGCAAGGTAAGAAGCGACTGCCGTGAGGAGTGAAGCGACAGGAACCAGTCAAGGTGGGAAGGCATCCGACGCTCATGGGGTATATGCCGTGGCATCCCCTCGGTCCCATGGAAAAGTGGAAGGTAGCAACAGTGAGCCATCGCGGAAGGTGGACGTATCTCTTAGGAGGGCAGTCATGGGTGAGCCAGAGCCACTTTCCAAGTGCCTTGCCTTCTTGATGCCAAAGGCAGGAGAGTTCTCGGTAAATACCAGCATAGCCATCTGCGAGTCCCTCTAGCCACTGCGCCTACTCTGCGTTCTCCTGTATCGCGAGACCTCCTGCTTGAAGTCCGCTCCTCAGGCGGGGTCCTTACTGCCCTCAGCCTTCCTGCCTTCCTCCACAGATCCTGCCTGCCTCCTTGAGATTGGGCTGGCCCAGCCCAGCCCAGCCAAGTTGAGCCGAGAAGGCATCACAGATGATAGCTGCCTTGTTGGAAAGGAGAAGAGTCGAATCCACGTTTCGGCAATTTGGGCCTGCCATTCATGTGCCACGACCGTGGTATGTGAACCATGGTCGGGGGTCGCCACAGAAATCATGGGTGATGTCGAGAAGCATCAAGCGAAAGACAGTGACATACACGCGCGTAAATTATCGCTATCGAGTTGACATTGCAGAACTCCTCGGCGCAATGTGATAGTGGCTTCCAGTTCACGGATGCAGACCAACCCTACCCGTCAAAGTGGCTAACTTGAGGTCCCTCTGCCGCTGTCTCGGACATCACAGAGACTCTGTCAGTTATTTTGAATACATGCCCACACGCAAGCCCACCGCCTCGCGCGTGCCTTTCAAAAGATCTTGTAGACAATGTCACCCCTAGCGGCGTTTACCAGCATCCAAGCCAACCCCTTCTCGGGAAAGATTCCTGGAAAGCAACGACGGTATCAAAACAAGTCCACCAAATGGAAGACAATATACGTAACGATGTGCGAAAACATATTACGATTGCAGAGTTTTACAAACCAAACTTCTACGTGTCGTGACTGGCAGCAGCAGAGCCCTTCAACTGCTCCTCAGATACCCATATTGAAGGCACTCTCAAGGTCTAGACTCGATCTCCTCCCGGACCTCCTTCGGAAGGCGCGCGTCTTCCCGCCAGACAAATAGTATCGCCGCAGCACCACCGATGACGACCATGACAGCAACGCTAACGATGGCAACGACGGCACGAGTATGAGTCTCCATGATGAGTTTTTGACTCACCTGATATAAGAGAAATGGTTTGGTTTATTTCGTGGAGGCGCTGGGTTTATCGGGTTTACCCCTGAATCTGGTGATATTGGTGATGGTGGATCGTGAGTGCTTTATCGCAGAATACTGAAGTCGAATAACTTGTCGAATACCTGCGTATCCCAGATTCTCAAGATTCTTGTTTGTTGTTTTTCGTCTGGTTCCAAGTTTGCCTCGTTCCTCTCCTCCCAGTCACCCAAACCATCAGCTCACCTAAATATCACCGACAAACAAAGCACCCTCATCCCAAACACCACCCCAGATCCCACACAAACCGCTCAGAAAGACCCCTTCTCAATTTCTTTCTTCCCCTTCAGAATCTTCACACAAGAAGCCCGCCCGTCTTATCACAGGCCATCTGTGAAAAACCAGACCGCACTGGGGACCCAGCTCAGCTGTTCACCACCAACCTTGCTGCCACACCCTCCTGCCCACAACAAAGCTATTGTCCCACCCGCATCTCACCTCTTCTCGAACTTGTGAACAGACTCACACTTGTTCAGCCCTCGACCCTCGAAGACCTGCTCTAGGCTTTCTGTGAGTAGTGACAAAAAGAACAGCGCATATATCCATCCGCGCGCAAACGGCAGCGCTCAAAAGGGAGACTTCCCCTTTCCCTCCTTCAATCCCACGCGAAAAATCAACAATCACAAAATCGGCGACGCAATCCAAGAAGTAAGTGACTTTTTCATCTCCTAAACTCATTTGGTTTGTCACTTGAGAAAAACAGACGCAGGGCTTTCAGCCTAGGATAGGGGTTCACCTGAACAACAGACCGGGGACACACGCGCCTCGTTTGCTCACAACACCAACCCAATCTGGCGATACCCTCACCACCCACTACACCAAAAATAACCCCACCTCGAGGCGAACTCCCATCACAATGTCCGACTTCAGGTACATCCCCTTCCCGCTCCCCGCCGACGCGACCCTCACACTCACCACCACAATCACCAGAGACCTTTCCACCCCCATCCCAACTACCACCGCACCGCCCTCGGTCACAACCAACTCCCTCCAAGACCCCTCTCAAACCCTCTCCATCACCACAATCACGCTCCGCGTCACAGACGCCCCCTCCAACTCCAGCAGCATCCTCAGTACCGCTGTTTCCTCATCTCCAACTCCCACTCCCACTCCTACCCCCTCCGGCCCAGCCCACAAGCCCGCAGTCCGAGGCGACATCACTCCCACATTCTACATCCTCGCCCTCGTCCCCATCCTAGTGATGATCCTCTGCGCCTACGATTCCTACACCCACCGCAAGATCGACGCCAAGCAGAAGAACATCACCACCACCACCAGGGCCGCCGCTCCTCGCAACCACCCCAATGGCGACATCGAGCTCCAGGACCTCTCCACCGCCCCCGCGGCCCCCCTGCGCCAGTACTGGTGGTTCGAGGACGACACCGTCACAAACCAGGTAAGCACCGACACCGACGACCGCGGCGTGCCCTACAACTCCCTCTGCCACCCGCGTCCCCCTATCCCCCTGCCCTCCCTCTGGGCAGCCTCCTGGTGGCCGTACAGCCGCGGCAGCGGCCAAGGCCGTCCCCACGGCACGCTCCCCGGCTGGGGCAGGCGTCACACGTTCTCCGAGTGCGGCTCGTACCCCGCCACCTTCGACCCGTCCCGGCCCCGCCTTGGGCTCAATTTCGAGCCCCTCACCCAAGAGGTCAGGAGACGGAGGCGGGACGGAGGAGAAGGAGGAGGGGAGGTCTTCTCGCGCCGCCTGATCGTGGGCCGTGACGCCGACGGCGTGATCCAAATCGTCATCCACCCCCGCCCCCCAGCCAAACCCCAAGACGATGATATCCAAGACGATTCCCAACTAACTCTTGTCCCTTCTCCCAGGCCACCGACACCGCCCCCGCAGCCGCCGAGACCGACCTCGTGTCCTCCCAACCTTCTACCCCCGACTGGGCCGCCGGCATCCCCTCCTACTACAACAATGGCCGCTCCCCGACCCTCAACTACTCCTCCTCCATCTCCTGCTCTTCTACCTCCGTCGTCGACGTGGATGTGATCCCGCCCGGTATGAGCGCCAGAGCCGCCGGCAAGCTGCCCGCCAAGCCCTAGAAGGGCAAGGCTAAGGCCAGCAGCAGCAGCGGCAAAAGAAACGAGGCTACCACAGCCGCGGCCGCGGCCGCCACCGGCACCGACCAACCCACCACCACGGCTGCGACGTCTCGGCGCCCGAGAAACGTCGCCGCCGGCGAGGGCTCATCCTCGTCGACCGACGCATCCCAGTCCGCGGACGCGCCGAAGAACCTCCCGCCCCGGTGCGACACCTGCAAGGCATGGCCGCTCATCGAGTGGCCCCGTCTCTGCACCTCCTGCGGACGGGTCGCCTAAAGGCCACAGCCAACGGACACAAGAAACCGAGGGAAGGAGAGCGCACCAAACCGCCATCCCTACCCCTGTCATGCGTGTGCGAGAAAAGAGAGCCGCATCTCGAAATCTCTCCGTCCGTCTTGGCTCGTTCCATCTGCATTTTGTCCAAGGTGGGCAGGCGCTCCGACCAGGCGCATCTACCATGCTTACCGCTTTTGTCGCAGATGGAGAAGAGCCCAAACTATACCGCAGATGGAAGAACGATGCGTCCTCGTACTTTGGATGAGCGAAGGGGACGGGGGGCGAGAGAGAGAGAGGGAGAGCATCTGTAGGGTATACTGTACAACTTTGGACGGGGAATAACCAAGATAGCAAAGAGCAAAGAGAATCAAAATCCAGGCAAACACCCCGCGGAAGCCAGCCAGCGTGAGAACTCATCGAGTACGAACCGCGGATCCTCTAACACTCGTCGTTATAGTTCTCTCCCTTCCCTTTCCGAGATTTTGGATGAAGCAAAGAGATCCCGTAAACTCTGAGACGGGAAGGTAAGGGAAGGGAAGACTCGAACTCAAAATCTTGTCTTGGAAGGACGGAAAGACGGTTGGGATGCCGTCCGCTGGGTGCGTCCCAGAAGACCAAAGCATGAATGGGCGAGTGCCGAGGTGGAGTGGCCTATCAACTGTCAGCTATTGTTTTGTGGAAAAGGGTCTACCCCAACAAACGTGCGTTGTTTCAAGTCAATCACTTTGGCCAAAACACATCAGAGGAGGGATGACCCTGACGACAATCATCGGGAATGGTGTGAGGCGTGAGGAAAAGTGTGTGTTAACCAAGAAATGGGAACAGCCCGTCGGCCAGAG